TGAGGAGCATCATACATTTTCATAACTTTGAGACGCTAGTAAATATGGTATGGTAATATGTGAAATTAAGAAAATAAATAGCTGCTTGGTTTTAGCAAAAGTTGAACATTTGCAAGCAAATTAATAGAACCAAATCATGGAATGTACCGTCGCGTCGGCACGTCAGTAATTAAATGTTTAAATTAAACATACATATATTATGTTCTGGTAATGAGTCGTAAACACTTAACATTATATCATGCCATTTCTTTAATAAGATAACAAAAATAATGTTGATACAGGTTCGATTATTTTTAAATGATTGATTTAGCACTTATTGAAATAACGGGTAATACCACTAATGCCAGTATTTTTTTTTCTGCTGTATTTTAATAGAAAATTCTAACATGCGCAGTATAAGACATTCACCAAAAAATGGACGTGACATGAGTATGATACTTAAGTAGTTCCAATAACACATATTTTTCTGGATTAGCACTTTATTTTTTTGTGTTCTATGAATTCTTAATGTATAACAAATTAATGTAGAGTTCCTAAGTCAGATTTATGCAAATAAAGTCACGTGTACAGTATTTTGTAATTTAAAGATTAATTTCCTGTTCAAGACTATACTGAGGCTAATATCTTAAACATTACGACGTTTAAATCGGAATGCCCTTTTTAAATACAGGTCGTATCTTGTATTTTTTTTTGTAATATTGATGCTTCAATGTAATATAGTCAGTCGCTGGGCCAGCTCGTTTGAATTAATTAATATGATTGAACAATGATTTAACGGTGGTAGAGCCACGCAGCAGTCTCGGCTGTTGCACGAATGGGCAGGCTCGTCCGGGTAAGTACCACGACCTCACAGAAGACCGGCGCAAAGTGGAAGTATGAGAAATACTTTCGCGTTTCGTCTGGTGAGTGAGGTAGCCGGAGCCCAATTTCCAAAAAGGTTGTCAACGCATCTGCAAACCCTGGGGTGTAGCAGATGTTCATGGGCGGCTGTATTCACTTAACATCAGGTGAACCGTCAGCTCGTTTGGCAACTTTTGGCACATAAAAAAAAAAGAGTAATAATAAAAGTAATGAAATAATTATAATAAACAAAATTAATGGGTAAATATTGTTTTTGTACAAAAACAATTGTACATAGCAAATATTTCATTTCAAATTATTTAACAAATATAATTATCGTTCCAAGTAATATTATTGATAGAAGCATACATAATTGTATTTTCATTTTTGTATTTCGTTTCAATAAGTGGTTTCTGTAAAAGTACTTACCATGTACCAACCTACATTTATAAATAAATACAGTGGACAACTGATTAGGCCTGAAACGCATTTGTTTTTCAATTACCACTGATTTAAAGTAGCTGGCCTATCCGCTCTCTCAATAGGGATGTGCTTTGTGTTTACATCCGCGTCATAACTAGATGGGGCCGGTGTGAACGGCTAACGTGGTCCCACCATGCAGGTTGACGGTCACTTCCAGGCGCTTCCATTGTTGTTGCTCCACTCGAGTGCGCAACCACGAAACTAGTTATGAATACGGTTTTTGTATTGTATCTACTAATTTAACTATCGTTTCAACTCCACGTCTGGTTATCGCGGCTGGCTGCGGGCTGGTTTATTTACTTATTTAATATACCAACGAAAAAGACACTGATAAAATTTACATGTACACAAATTATAAGGAAAAACAGCTTAAGTGCCACCTCAGTTATAGGTGTATACGACATTTCGATTAAATGTAGAATTTGCATGATAGACAGGTAGCACTACCATTAGGATTAACATTGCAAAAACAACGATTAAACTAATACATTTTTGTTGGATTAGAATTTGTACATGAATAAAATTATTTAAAAAAAATCCATTACGTATTACATAATGACATTAGTCGCCGTAGAGCGCACCCTAACAAATCCATGTTGTTCAGGTGTATTAGTTGTTTAAAGTGCCAAGTTAGGATTGGGCATATTAAGATTTCGAATACTTTCGCAAACACATTAATTATGGGTACAGGCCTATAATTTATAGTAGAGGAGGCATCTCCACGTTTTAACAACGGTATAACAACAGCGTCCATCCAAATAGATGGGAAAAATTTGTTGATAATGATAGAAAGTGGCACCGATAAAGGACATGCACATATTGTGGCAAAGACAGCCGGTATACCGTCAGAGCCAGCGCCCTTCCTACTGTCAAGTCTTTTTAAAACTATATATTTGATCTTTGGTCACTTTGATATTGTAGATAGATGATTGGTGATTGGACTTGCATGAGTAAATTTGAAGTAGATTTTGCGTTCAAGTTGTATACTAAAGAGAACTGTACGCAAAAAGTTCACAGATGTCTGGACCTGAGGCTGCAACATTGTTTTCAAACATTAAGTGCATCCGAGCTGCGAAAGTGCTAGTACTACCTCTTTTGTGCTCAATAAATGACCATAATAATTTTGAGTTTGAAACCATCGTAGCCTCCATTCGTTTTAAATATCATCACGTAGTTTCACAACTTTATCTATTGACTGGTTCGGTTTAAATAATGTGCAGAATTTTAAGATTATTTTTAGTGCTAGTACCTGCACTCTAGATTTTCGCGCAACGAGGTCATCGGCCGCTTAGCTTAAAGTTGGTAAAACTTTTTGGGCGCTTGTCCCAAAAGATGCAGTTTCTAACCCCGCATCGCCGAAAGATTTTTGTTCATTTATCTAAAAAATATCACATTTTAAATACGGCGGAATCTTCGGAAAGTTTTTGTCTTGAATGCTTCTACAAATGCAGGCGGCCATTAAAGACTTTAGAACTTCAGTCAGACGGGTTCCGTGTGTGTTGTTTTTCAATTCGGCGAAATTGGCGGGCGGTGCAGAATCTACGCCCCGTTTTACGAGCGCGATCGTGATAATATTTTCAATGTTGTCGTCATAAAAAGCTTCTTGATGTTTCAAATTTAGAACAACCCCATCGACACGTGCGCCAGCGATGCCTTTATAGCGGAATCGCGTTGCTTTTAAAGATTAAAATAGATGCCGAAATGTGCAACGATTTTTGTGATGAAGAGTGATGTCTGCGATAGAGCCACAGAGTAATATTTCCAGAACGTACGCTCCTGCTCAAACAAGGATAATGTAACGCCACAGAGTAACATCAACTTATTCTCTGCTTATTTTCTGCTTAGTTGAGGCCTTCCTCTTTAACTTTAGCAATGCAGCTGCAACTTAGTGGGTGTTGTCAATATCCTTGGGCACCAATAACTTACATCAAAATTGTAATATATGCCTTGACCGACAAACGTGAAATCACCACACAGCGTGTGAATCTTGTTGTTAGTGGTAGTAGACTAACGTCAACGCTTCCTATAAACGAACACATTTCAATGGGTCGGGTAGTAATTGAACCCACTAGCCGCTGTGCCGAAACCAATAGCTTCGCAATTGCGCCACCACTCATCACGACTGATTTTCTACCGTCTCGCTCGCTTTTCCACCACACAGGCGCACCAATGTAAACGAATAGACATTTCAAATTTAAACACATTGGTAAAAATAATACGTCACTAAGCACGTGGTTAATAACATTTTAATTCCATTTAACTATTTATCGCGATGCTGACTACATTGAATTTTAAGCCGCTATAATCCTCATCCAACCAGGCTCTTCTGTTAAAACCAAATGTACAGAACCGAAATTATGGCCCGGACCTCTGGTCGTGGGTTCGATTTTAATATCGTTCAAGTGCAGACCTGGGTATTTCCCCGTTCGCAATTAGTGTGTATACAACAACTGTAACAAAAAAGATAATCAATCATACTTAATAGTTAATAGTTTCTTTTTAACATGCGTAAAATGAAAAATATGTTTTAAAGTTAATGTAGGCTAAGCGCTAAAGACGTGAGTCGAGTTGTTTTAAAAAAAATATTATGTAATCCTTCAAAAGAAGATTAGAAACAAAAGAAGATTACGAAAGAACAAAATTCAATGTGCTGCAATTATAAAATAATAATCTTAGGATACTTTTTATATATTTTCATTTCACTTGCCGTTTACAGTTACTAAGAACTGAATATGATAAGAAATGCCCTCTACATTTCCAATGTTGGGCAAAGGCCTCCTCTTACAGAGGGTTTAAGGCATAGTCCACCACGTGACTCCACTGACGATTGGCTGACTTCACATGTTTTCGAAACATATATTTTTTTGTTAATATTTAGAAAATATGCAGTTCTCCTGAAGATATTTTCCTTCACCGTCAGCACTTAAAATAAAAAATTTCATCGGTGCTGAAACCAGGATTTGAACTCGCGTCCCTCGTGTTTAATTAATCATCGGATACTGAGATATCTCGGCTCGAGGTGTGAAGCATAAATTTAAAGCAGTTCGAACGATGCAGTATCGTTTATCATATTTAAATAATAAAAGCAAACGGTATAATAAAATGTTCGCCATTTTATTGTACGCAAACATTTACTGTAATAAGCATAAGCAGCTCCGACTCTTGATGTCTGCGAGATGTTTCGGCTTTCAGCCTTTGTTACTTTTTAAATAATATTCTTTGTTTATAATCTATTATTATCTTTGCTTAAAATATATACGCAAATGCTTTTAGTAAGGTTTCATAAATGCTGGAATAAATGTCATTTTGCAGGCAACCGGCGCCTGAGGTGAGCCGATGTAAAGTTCAGTAGACTAACTATAATACATATATGTATATGTACTAAAATAAATAATAAATGAAGCAATTAATAATCAATGCATAGTTGAACTTAATATATCCAAAGAAATATATTATTACCTTTGATATTTCATATAAACAAATAATAAAGACAATTCGTGATATGGACACAAATGTATCATCCACCCGACTAGTTATATCATTTAAACGGAGTCCTGTTAGACGATCTCGGTTAGTCTTAGTATAAGGAGTTCCAAGGAGATCTAACATTATAAAAGTTAAATAACCACTGGCTTTTAATGCTGAGTTCTCTGCTCACCTGCATGCACTCGTTTCAGACGTTTCCAGCGCCGTGGGGAGCGAGCTGCCAGCCAGTAAGACAGGGTCAATTCCGCACCGACGCAAGCATACATTGCCGACCGCCCGCATAGGATGGTAGAAACTGACCCTGGGCCCAAGAAACCTCACAGTGAGTTTATAGCCTTAGTGTAATTCTTATATCTTTAATGTTTTTGAAGTGAAAACTTCTTTTATCGCGGTACGCACAATTTTAGATGAGATAAAATCTCTGGACTCGCTTAATTGAATTTTTGAATAGAGAATTTGATTTTACTATGTCCAATGAACGCAATATTAGCACAACGAGATATAAAAGTACAATTGATGCGGCATTCACAAGATATTTAAATAACTTCGAATCAAAATTGTTTATTTATATTATTTTATTTATCTAAAAAATGTCTAACGCGCCAAAATAAGTTTTCACTTCTGTCGGCACTCCAGGAGTGCAACCCGTAATTTTTTATGTGAAAAGGTGGCAAATAAGCGTGCGGTTAGCCTGATGTTAAGTGATAACCGCTGCTCACTGTCATTAGCTACACACGTATGGTTGCAGATGCGTTGATTACCTTTTTATGAAGTGAGCCCCGGCAGTATACGCCGTTCTTCTGTGCGGTTTTTACTTGCGGTACTTACCCGGACGGAACTGCCCATTCATGCCAAAGCGAGGACTGTTGCGTGGTCCTTGCGTGGGGATAATGTTAAAGTAAGGGCAATATTGTTAATAAGAAAAAAAAAACTTTTTTTTTCTTGGATAGCTCTGATGATTACTATACATTGCAACAAACCATTTGGTGTCTGACATCGGAAAATTGGACAACCGTACACTGAGCTACTTAAAAAAAACTTATTATAAAATATGAAATACACCAGACAAAAAGAGGGCAGAAAGAATCTGCCGGTTCCATTAAAGCTGTTTAAAGTACCTAAAACAGTATAAACTCGTTTGTTACAGATTGTGATGTAAAAGACGAACACCAAATAAACGGCCCAGGTTCCAAAACCGTTGATCTTGGTGAGTACATAAATATTATTACTACAATAAGAACATCTGTAGTTTTTGATTGTATGGATGAATCTTTGTTGTTGGTAAGCTGTTGGCATCGGCGCTGCGGGACGGAGATCCGATTCCAACGCGGAACAAGTATTTGTGTGACCGACAAATAATTGTTCAAGATCTTTGTGTTTATTCCCAAGGTTGACGTCAGGCAGGCGATCCGTCATAAAAATCTAGCCAATATTTAATCAACGCATGTTATTCTGATCCCACTTATGTGATATAAAGGCAGGAGGAGGAAGAGGGTTCCATCCCATTTCATAAGCAATATCATTTATAGCATACGTTAGTTTGCCCGCAAACAAATGTAATACTCACTCGTAACTGTTCTAAATAATATATGATAAAGAGACCGTCACAAAATCCAACGTAGTTTCAAAACATAAACAATTAACTATTCGGCCTAATAGAGCTTGAATGGAGGAACCCCCGTTTTAGGAAGTAGCCTAAAAGTCGGCATGTAATTTTCAAGTACCGCTGTAAAGGAAATTTACATTTCAAATTTCTGTAACATTTTCACCTTCAAACAGCTACAAATCCTCACCCGCTATAATTCTCAATAAAAACTTAATCGTACCATCATCTATTTAAAGGGGAACTTATTTCTTATTCTTGTATTGGTTAAGAACAAAAAAGCCGTCGGGGCAGTGGTGTCTGAGTCACGCGACCGACACGAGGTATTTAACACTTTAGATATAGCACGTGACCGTTTAAAAAAAACACGCTTCCACATAGTGACGCGCGCATGGCAATTAATTCGAAGGCGACTTTTATTTACGTAGCCACGTCTGGTGCTATCTGATAGGATTCCAATTGAACTGCTTTCACCAAATCTGCTTCCCAAATATGAGAAATCTTATTAAAAAATAGGCATTAAAGGTCATTAAAGGTCTCAGCTACATGGGAGGACAGGTTCTGTTGGCTCTTGGTGACCTCAGTAGCTCGGTACCTCTTGGATCTGATGCCGAATTTCAGGTTTTAGATACACTAGCCAAGATCTTTAGCAGCTAGTTAACTTGAACGAATTTTAAATCTAGACTCTTGCAACATCCAAAAGGATAACAATGTCGTGAGACTTGTTAGCGAAGAATCTTGATGTCAACCCTGGTACAGAAACCGCAACCATCATTCGATAAATTGAAATAGTTTATGTAAAGACCGAACTTATATTGATATCTGATATTTTTATTATTTTTGTGCATCGCTGTCGTTACTAAAAACAAATTAAATACAGCTTTCATGATAATAAATAGTTAACATTATTTGTATCAATGCATTTATTCGTGTGACAGTGTATCACATTATCAATATCAATGTATCACATGGGTGTGATCAACTCCGTTGTTGTGTGTAAAATTATTTTTTTACTTTTTGTCAGGGATGATTTAAAAATTCAATCTTTGTTTAATTATCAATTATGGCATTCGAACTAAGACTTAGAAAATTTTCTTCATTATCATTTAACAAGAAAAGGCCTTTTTGAAAAACTCGAATATGGTGACTTTTTCTTCTTTCGACCATTTATTAGGGCATTAATAACAGTAATCCAAAAATTTATTTAAAAGCAAACATATTGGACATACAGGCTTATCATTTCAAATAACTAGAACGTAATTTGGATCTATGTTTTTTTCTCAAGGCTAGCGAATATAATCTAGTTTTAGGTATGAAAAAATTTAATATTATTGCGAACGAAAAAACTAATGTATTGTCTTCCTTTATAACCGCAGAAACGAATTGTTCGTGATCTGTTAAGCAAAAATTAACATGATTACAATTGAGAGGCAATTAGTATGTTTTAATTCCCCATAATTACCAACTTAATGCGAGATATGTATTATTTCAGTAAGAATGATATTCATGTTATGGTTAAAACAAGAAAGTGTTAAATAGTAAAGCAAAATAAGCAGTAAGTGTTGGTGAATAAGTCTGTTTATCATTTGAAGTTGCGGGTTAGAAACCCAATGACAGAAACATTTGTGGAAATAGTACAATGAAAAATATTAATAGTTTTAAAATGTAAATATGCAAAACGTATAATGGACCAAAGTTTCACAAGGACTGTAACTTTTTAGATGAAGGTTGTACAAACAGCATTTATTAAAGTAATCAAAATCTTTTTAGTTTGGAGAATAAGAAGAAATTACCTTAAATATAATGTGCGAAAATTGCTCAAAAAAAATTAAGAGTGACTTCTATATATTTTTAAACTGTTTAAGTTTTAGGAGACCAGTGGCATGCGTTTTTAAATAAATACTTAAACTATCAAGTAAAATATTATGTCAAGGAATAAAAATTACTTGCCGTATATTTTAAAATCACATAATATGTTTCTTTTCAACTAATTACTTGCTAAATGTATAAGCTTCATTCGTGCCTTAACCTGGAACTAATTTCCATAAAAAAATTATGTAAATATATTACAATATTTATTCAACTATACAGTTCACACCGAAGAGTGGATCTGTCACATATATTATAATTTATTTCCTGATGGACCCGTTTTTTATATTAATTTTAAGCCTACCCCGGAAATAGATAATTATATATAGCAAAAATAAACAATCGATTCATTTTTAAAAATTTAATATATTCTTTAAACAATTGTGATGGCCGTTTACGATCAAATTTTATTTTGAAACACATCATTGTTTGTGATCAATATCATTTTACACTCCAACACGAACCCGGGGTCCATAGGCAACAGATCAGTTACAGTAAAAAAAAATTAGTCTATTACCGATTATTGAGAAACATCATTATTGAGTTTATTGAAAATAATCCTGGCGATCTCTTTATTTTCAAGCTGAAATAGCTTGGAAATAAAGGAAATAACGAGCCACTATCAAATACCAATACTTCCTGTGCCCATTTATTATAACATATAAATTTCAATTTACTATTTTATCGATATACTTGATCATAAATTAATATTCGCTGAGAATAATTTTGTGTTCTTTACCTGATTCAATCGACTCACATAAATAACGTGAGTCGTGAACCACTCTTTACGAATAAAACCCATTTAAAACATTTAAACACGAAATTTAAGGACTATCCAAATACGTTATACTTTCTTCCACAGGCGTCGTACCTTCGCTGAAGACCTCAGCTAAGTGCGACCCAGAAAAAGCGCCCAACTCGGAAAAGGCTGACTTCGAAAGGGCCATCGAATTAACCGGTAAGTATTTTTAAACTCTTTATTTTGTACACTTCAGTGAAGTGAAAGAACCAGGGCCTCACAGAAGACCCGAATAAAGAATTCGTTCTTCATTCACTTGTTTTCTATTTCGTTTTGTCACGAGCATGCGGGAAACATTGTACATGTGATTAGTGGAAGTGTAATTGGAGATGTCTCAATAAAAATCTATTCTTTCCCACTTAAATTTACGGTAAACAACAACAGATGGACTGACGCCGGCAAACTCTCAACCCTAAACATAGACAAATCTATGGCTATTAAAAAAATGTATCAATAGATTCGAATCGTTCACAGTTCATTCGCCAAGGTCTGCTGATACGTTACATTAATATTTGACCTTCTTACGTACTCGGAAGTGTCGTTTCATATGCATTAAACATCAGTCAAGCGTGTTCATTCACTATCTGAAATCAATAGGAGGTTACAACTTTTAGCGGGAATTCGTTTCAAGACTAGGCCAATGTATGTATTTATCGCAGTTCATTAGAGCTATAGTGGAATGAACCCAAAACATACTACCATAAATCAATGCCACCTTGTGCTACTAGGTATTTCACTGGGGACTGGACCGTGGCGAGCTCAGGTTCAAATTTGACCACAAATAAATGATAAAATTCGTGCAACAGCAGAATCTTGAGAGCTTTTACGTGGTTACATATTCACTTATTTGATGCGTAGTTTATTCTCCATCACAATGGTCATAAATCTTCAGATCTATCACAGATTTTCGTTATAATAGATACATGTAATCAAGCAAAGGGTAAATTCAGGTCGCAGTTCAAGTCAACGCGAGTTGTAAACAAAACGCATGGACAGCTTACGCGTGGACGCGGCCGTGTGTAAACAACTTTGTAATGGACACTCGGCTTGTGGAGTTTTATGAATGGATGGTGCTTGCGTTGCATTCCACGGTTTCGCTTCCGCGGAGCTAACAGCTAACACGCCATCTCTTCTGAGAAATTATTCCGAACAGGAGCGGCGCGCGGTTTGTTTACAATCTTGTCCTTCGAAAATGGATACGTCAGTTCCCAGTGGTAGGTTGATGATATGCTTGCGTAGCAATGCAGGCTGTGAAGTAAAAACAAAAGTTTCTATATTACGTAACACAAAAACGTGCGTTACGTAACTTAAAACGGATATTTGAATTATTCCAGAATCAGGAGACATAAATGTATAGTAGGTAGTCTAGTAGGATAACCTAAGCTCGCATCGAAAATGTCACTGCCACATTGTCTCCTTTTTATTTTCAAAAGAAATTTCGAATCCGTCATTATGGATGGAAGGGACTCTACGTCTTTAGGGAGCCGTTATTAATAAAGCATTCTTAATGACTGATATAAATATATAATAACGAATATATGAAGGATCCGTAATTCATAAATCAAATAAGGAAATCCATAAATCAATAAAGTGTGAAAATAAACTATTTTACTACCATTATTACGTATTCTACGTGTGAGGTATTTAAATATTTAGAAAAATCTTCTGATCTTTAATAATTACGTTTAAATACCTGACTACTTTCATGCATTAGATTGGGTTAAACTTTAGATTGGGTAAGGTAACAAACGTAAATAAAAACTTAAGTCGTTTTAAAGTTCTTATCAGGCTTTTTACCGTAATTCAATATCAATTGATAAAAAAGATTTTCATTTTTTCAATCCCTCGTGAAAAAAGAAATAGTATTACAAATAAACACAATTCCCGGCATTAAGATAGCTTTGCCACCGGTATGATTTTTTTACATGTTCTTTACGTAACGGCCTTTAGAAGATTTTTATTTACATATAATTATCATTTCATTAAAAAAAATGAAAGGAATCAAAATTGGACATATGTAGTTACTAAAAGTCCAGGTTTGTCTTTAAAAATCCAAATAGCTAGTACCTGAGGGTGAGCTAGAATAGTTATTGCTAGAATCAAATCATTCATTCCGCTACTCAAAAATGGATTTTTATAAACGAAGCGAATTCTTTAAAAATATTTAAAATTTTCATTTAACATGTACAAATACGTTAGAACTATATCTATGATCAACTTATGGTGGCCTTACGATGGTAGGGCCATGCAGCAGTCTCGGCTGTTGCACGAATGGACAGGCTCCTCCGGGTAAGTACCACAACCTCACAGAAGACCGACGTAAAATGGAAGTATAATACTTTCGCGTTTCGTCTGGTTAATGAGGTGGCCGGAGCCCAATTTTCAAAGGTTGTCAACGCATTTAGAACCCTCGGGTGTAGCAGATGTCCATGGGCGGCGGTATTCACTTAACATCAGGTGTACCGCCTGCTCGTTTGGCAACTTTTTACATAAAAAAACTGCATCTGGGTAATTGCAATTTGTGCATTATTTTCAGGCTATGGACGGTTCCACTACCTGCTGTTGGCAGTATGTGGCCTGGTCAGCACCTCCGAGGAGATGGACGTCATCTCGATGTCCTTCATCCTGCCCTCGGCGCAATGCGACCTAAATCTCACCACGCATACGAAAGTACGTAATAAGCTGGCCACATAGATATGAATACATCAATCATTTCACCAACATTTTGTAATACTCGATTGATTTATCGCACACACAAAGAATACTATGGATATCTATTGTTTTGATAATAAGCAATGAGTCAAAACAAAAATTCGGGAATGTCTTTAGAATAACATTATATTTAAATAACTAAAAATTAGTCTGATGTTTATTAAATAAAATAAAAAATTGTTACCGGGCGGATAAACGGACAGAAATATTTCATAGTAATAATACTTTTATTTATATAAGTTCTGAAATATCTTAAACATGACAAAACCAATTGTATTAGTTTAATAATTAGTTTAAAATCTCGTCATCTTTTCGCCGGAAGTCTATGTAGAACACCATTCAATAGAGCAAAAATTCAAAGAAGCGAGGAAAATTCCGACGTTTACTGTGGGTAAACATTTGCTTTTATACAGCCAAACACGTAATGTTGGCGAATTTTAGCAGACTCTTCTACGAGAATGTTGTTTTTTGCAATCCTTATCTACAGACAACAGATATAAAAAGGTTTTAAGAGATTTGGGCAATTTCAATCACAACACATGAACCATCAGAGTTTTATAAACAAACTGTCGCACAAACTCGGTGTATGTGTTTCTACTTGCAATAAAAAGTTTAAATCGGCAAAAAATCGTTGGGATACTGATAGACAAAACAGTATTCTTTTGCATGGGTTAAGATTTTATTGATGCGAAAAGTTATAGAAGCCCACATGTAGGTCAGATAAATCTCTTATTTCTAGAAAGCAAAATTAGTTTAAATTGTCTATAATCAATAGATCTGATTACCATGAATTTTAAACTTTAATAATTGAAACATTTTGTCAACCTTTACTAACTACACGCTGGTAGGACAAGTGCTTTTTGCCATCAACAACTATGTTTTGATCAGACCACTATTTTCAACGTACGAAAACTAGTGAAAGTAGAACACACTGACTGTATCAAATCTAAATGCAAAAATTAATATAAAACTTGATCGTGTAATGTCTTAAACAATTTAACTAACGGAAGAATGCAATAATGAAAAACAAACAGGAAGGACCCATCGATGCGACGTTGCGACAAATTCTGGTTACGAATTCTGTTTATAGATACAGCCTTGTATGTTAAAATGTATGCGGTATTCTAAGAAGGTCTCGTGATACAAGTGTGAATTGCGCTATAGTGATTTATTTACATACAGTGGGCCACAAAAATAACGGGTCGCTAAAGGAACTGTAATAGTTCTTTAAATGCCTACAATTGATTCGTGAATGTTGGTCGTTTCAAATGACTTATTATTGATGATCAAGTTTGCACATCATTCAATTTTAATTAAAAAATACAAAAACTAACTTTAAAATATTCTAATGTTGCCTGTTGTTATTTCTCTATGATGTCATTCATCGGCTATTCAGATGTATAATAATCATTACTCATTAACTTCTATTATACTTAAACGTAATCACTCCGCTTGGAATTTTGCTGAAAGACAAGACATATAAGTACTTGAACGGAGCGGTTTCTAAATAACGGCAGCAAACTGACGATGACGTTCTGTTTGCCGTGCAGGGATGGCTGAACAGTATAATCTTCATCGGGATGATGGTGGGCGCCTACGCGTGGGGCTCGGTGGCAGACTCGCTGGGCAGGAAGCGCGTGCTCATCGCCATATCCGTGGTCAACGGGGTCGCCATCGTCGCTTCGTCCTTCAGCCAGAACTATGAACTCTTCATGCTGTTCCGCTTCATCAACGGCGCGGCGTGAGTGCTCTTTCTTAACCCTTTTACGGTCCCATTTTGTTTTTTTTATGATCTGCACCCGATGCTGTGTGATAACTACCACCTACCACCGAGACCCCTAGAGTTGCAAATGCGTTGCCACATTTTGTAAGTGGGTGGGTATAACAATTCACGGCTGTCTTCTGTGAAGTCATTGTACGGACTCGGACGGACCACTCCATTCAAGCAACAGCTAAAACTATTGCGAGGCCCTACCGCAGTCAAATTTAGTCTAATACCCTTCAATTACAACTCGCCATTAAGAGAACTCACCCAGATTCGTAAACTATAATAACATCGAACGATAATTTGAAGGTAACGACATGGTTGAAGAATATTTGAATGATAATTGAGGAAATTAAGGACTCCGTGGCGCAGTTGCCAAGGTATTGGCTTCGACGTCGGGGGTCGTGGGTTCGATTCCCACACGGGACAACAATTTGTGTGACCCACAGATAGTTGTTTCGCATCTGGGTGTTTGTGTACGGGAAGTTTATGTTTGTAAAATGTGTATAAGGACTTTGTATAAGTACACACAGGATAATGTGATCCACAGTGATATATATATATAGCTTCGAAAATAGTTTAAATATATCATACGGTAGAATAATATCTATAGCGATCACGATTACATGCAAAGTACGCCAACTTTTAATTTCATGGTCTCCGGTAAATGCAATTTCCAGATGCCAGCTTAAGGAAAAATGGCAAGACGTGGAGGCGTACTCGTACATGTCCAGAAAGTAAAAATTTGAGGACGTGTAAGGTCAACCAAAGAGCATGGAAGCCGCATGACATTTCAACATTAATGAACATTTTTCTATAATGTTTTAATTTAGTGTTCAAATGAAACAAATTTCTTAGCCAAAATTCAATTTTCAACCGGACAAAAATTCTATGGAATATTTTTTTTATAATAACGTTGTCAATGCGAAAGGAAACCACCAATTCTTGAAATTTATTGTATATGATGTAAAGAGGCTATAGGATTCCGTGGTTCAGCTCCTAAGGGCTTATTGACATCGCTGCTGGGGGCGTGAGTTCGATTCCTACATGAGACAAGTATTTGTGTGTCCCACAGATAATTTTTCGAATGTTATTTCTTCCCAATGGGGGTTTACGCCGGGCAGGCGGCCTAGGCAATACCGTGAACATCATAATTGACATTGGTTCCGACCCCATCTTAGTTGGATTTACGGTAGAAGAAAGAAGATCTTAAAACACTATCTTCTTAAGAAATCTTGATCCGTAGATTGAATTTTATCATGCCCCATACTCTTCAAATATTTATGCATTAATGCATAAATTAAATTGCAATGCGTAGCTCTAACAGACTAAAACATTTCAGCTTGGGCGGTTCGGGTCCCGTGATTTGGTCCTACTTCGCGGAATTCCAGCCGAAGAAGAAGCGGGGCGCCATGTTGAGTTTCATGGCAGCGTTTTGGACGCTCGGCAATCTGTTTGTGGCTGGGCTGGCGTGGGTCATCATACCTAGCGGTGAGGCTGACTGTTCTTTACAACTTGGCGTATCACATACGAATATTACTTGAAATTATGAAATTCCACAAATACATTCTGAGAAATAGCAAATTGAAACCGATCTTAGCGCGTTAATATATCTTATGAGAAATATTATATGAAAAATCTTTTGTTATTTACAAAAGATTGCCAAAAACCATAATAAAAGCCGCTGTGCAGAAATTGGAAAAAATGTCGTTCCATACTTGTATATTAGAAATTATCAGACTACAATAAAATTGACATTAAAATCTAAGACGCTGCAGTGTTTGTATTCTAATAGACGTTCCAAACACAGACTAGAAGACGCCCTAAACGCCCTTTTTGTTTTGTGCCATGAGTTCATGATGAGATTTCATGATAAATTCATTGCCCAGAAATCGGGGGGACAACGGGCGGCTTCGTATACAACTCGTGGCGTATATTCCTGCTGGTGATGTCACTGCCATCGTTCCTTGTCGCCGCACTGCTGTTCCTGTTGCCGGAGTCGCCGAAGTTCCTCATCTCCTCGGGCCGTCACGAGGCGGCCCTGGAGGTGTTCAGGGGCATATACCTGATGAACACCGGCCGCAGCAAGGAGCAATACCCGGTCAAACAGATCCTAGTCGACGAGCCGATGCACTCGAAGCCCGAGAAGCAGCTGGAGGAGAAGGAGCCCAGGTCGAAGATGCGCCGGATGCTGAGCGACATCGTGGAGCACAGCAAACAGCTGTTCGTGCCGCCGATACTCAAGTTCACAACTATATCCATCACGATCAACTTCACGTTCCATATCGGGTGAGTTGGCGTGATCGGAATTTTTTATCTTATTTCTTGTAATTTATAACGAAATTTTGCACATTAATACAATTTCAAGTTTTTTTTTTGGGACTTATGAGAAACATATATATGTCCAGACATAAGTAAGGTGCCAATTGCGATTATCAGCTTATAAACAAACGGCATCACATTACTCAATCGGAAATCGCCATTCGGAATACACCCATTTCGGTAGTCTTCAGTACAGTTAATATGAATAAGCCTCCCCCTTTATTATAATTTGTTACACTGTTTTAGTGTCTAATCACAATAATATATATAAAACACTGGCATTCAAATAATGAGCCATCAAGACACAAGAACAACGCAATTCATGTTCAGTTTATTATAACGATAGTAAAATATATAAATTACTGACATTAAAATCGTAATCCGTCAAGGCATGCGTTTCTGGTGAGTGAGGTAGCCGGGGGTCCACTATTAAAAGGTGCAAATGTCCATGGCTGGCAGTTATCGTTAGGTGAAACGCCAGCTTGCCACCTTCTCACGTTAAAAAAGAAAAGACAAGAACAACGTACTCCGTATTCAGTACTCTGTGCCACCTCATATAAAAAAGACAAAAACACCGTAGGTGGATACTACGTATTAAGTACTCTATGCCACCTCACATAAAAAAGACGGCAACGCCGCAGGATACTCTGTATTCAGTACTCCATACACAACCGCCCTTCTGCAGTTACTACGGGCTGATGATGTGGTTCCCGGAGATGTTCAACCGCTTCGACGAGTGGTCGCGCGCGAACGACAACGCGCCGGCGGACATTTGCATGGTGACGTCATACGTGACGCAGCGCGGCACCCACTCGGCGGACGCGCTCTGCGACCCGCACATACACTCCGACGTGTTCATGGAGTCGCTCATCACCGTCGCCGCCGCGATACCGTCCAACATATTCGCCGTGCTCGGCATGGACCGGCTCGGCAGGAAGTTCTTCCTGGGTGAGTCGCCACAGCCCAGTATGTTCCGGAATGTATTTTGTGTGGATCGGGCTGGCTAGTGAGTCCAACAGACCGCTGCTGCCATTCCATATTTGCCTACGCATATGCCCGGCCGTTTGTTGCATAGCTTCGTAACTTTCATAACAACTTGTAGATAAAAGGCATGTACGCGCGGTTCCTATATTAACAAAACTAGGCGTTTTCCTGACGAGCCTTTGCATTATCTACGGAAAGTGCGTTTCTAGCGTTCCTTTAATCTACAAGTCGTTATGAAAGTTACGAAGCTATCTAACGGCCGTTTGTTGAATATAGAGTATAGAATAACGGGCAATACTCTCGCCGGGGGCAAGGTATAAGCAGGTAAATGGACTCAATAAAATCTGGGATTTCATCATTCAAATTTCATTCTTCTTCTTTCCCTTGCCCTTATCCCACACCAGATGGGGAGGCGCAAGAAGTCCTTTCCTTCGACTTTTCTCTATCAGCCGTCATCTTATTACTCATCCCTTTCACATACATCACTCTTCACACAGTCCATCAAAATCTTTTTCGGTCTTCCTCTAGCTTCACACCCTCGAACCACATCCATTTTCTTCACTCTTCTAGTCACATGACTTTCATCCCTTCGCATAATGTGCCCGTAGCATGTCAACCTACCACTCCTCAGTTCACTCTCAGTCACTGGCGCCACTTTCAAGCTTTCCCTTATATACTCATTCCGTATTTAAGATACTTTTTCGGTTACACCAAGCATCCATCTCAACATTCGCATCTCTGCCACATGCATTTTTTTTTCATTCGTCTCTTTTGCTGCCCAACATTCAAATCCATACATCATGACAGGTCTCACCACCGTCTTGTAAATCTTCTCTTTGTGTTTTGAGTCTGACGACGGGTTTGGCCTAATGGGTACTGAACGTGTCTCTTGCGCCAGAGGGTGTGGGTTCGATCCCCGCTACTGAAAAATATTTTGTGATGTACATTTTAATAAAAAAATGGATACACTTAGAAAAGCCACCCTTTATATTTCTAATATCTATTAATTTACAATGGAAAAGTATGTGTACCCATAGTACAAGCGTTGCTAAGTTTGATACTAGAAAACGTGTGAAAATGTTTTTTTTTTTTTATGCGAAAAGTTGTCAAACGAGCAGACGGTTCACCTGATGTTAAGTGAATACCGCCGCCCATGGACATCTGCCACACCCGAGGATTACAGATGCGTTGACAACCTTTTGAAAATTGGGCTCCGGCTACCTCACTCACCAGACGAAACGCGAAAGTATTTGTCATACTTCCAATTTACGCTGGTCTTCTGTGAGGTCGTGGTACTTCCCCGGACGGGCCTGCCCATTCGTGCATCAGCCGAGGCTGCTGCGTGGCCCTACCACCGTTAAATGTTATGAAATTATTATTTATTTATTTATTTTAAGGGCATTCGCGGGTCACGTGTAACTCTTGAGACCTGTTCGTTCTATCTGTCAATTAATTATCTGTCCGCAGTATTCGCGACTTTCTCGGCCGGCCTGTGTTCAGCCGCGATGTACTTCGTGTACAACAAGACCAACAATCTTATCGTGAGCGCCATCTTCAGCTCCGTCATATCCTGCGGCAACGCTTCCCTCGACTGCCTCATTACGGAAGTCTTCCCCACCAACTTACGGTAAGAACTGAGTCTCTGAATAGTAATAGTAAATTAGTACATCATGCAGCTGTTTGATTGTGTGTGGTCAGGTTCATTGGCGGCAGTAGCCATAGTCTTACGCAACACCGAAGCTTTGGAGAAATATTAAGAATTTTGTAAATGTAATGAATAATAATTATGTAATGATGGCTGAACTGAGTTTAAAAAATCAACGCAACTACCTACCCTACGTGAGTTGTTGAATATGGAATCCATGTTCGGCGATAATGACCGACAATTATTTTCTTTATAAGGTTACAAGTAAGGTAAAATGCCACTGGTCCGACATAACAGCCTAGGCCATTACAGGCTGAAACAGACAATGTAAAACGAAACTGCCTTCACTAACAATGTTCCTTTTTCAAACAGCGCAACGGGCGTAGCAGTGTCTATGGTGGCGGCGCGTCTCGGCGGCATCATAGGCAACGTCGTGATAGCCGCCCTCCTCGACACATACTGTCCCGCTCCGACCTTCATCGTGGCCGTGCTACTGGCTAGCGGCGGTCTCATGTGCCTCTTCCTGCCTAACACCACGCGACAAGCTCTGCAGTAGACAGATTAAAAACAAACGCCGCTATTCCCCAAACACAAGAGCAGAATAAAAACGTTATCAATAACATCTAGTTTTATATTTTGTACGTTTTCACTTTTTTTTCAATGCAATTTTTCGTTTACGAAAATGATAGAAATTTTAATATTTTCATTAATATATAAAATATAGCAGTGCTTAATGTAACCGCGACCGTTGTGTATAGCATTTTGTTTATTTCATTATTAAGTTTTGGCCATTTATAGTAAGAATAATGTTATTGATGTAAAGAACCAAAGGTGTATACAAACGTGCTAACAATAACGGGTAACTTACAGTAAACTTCCAGTCTTAATTCGGCAACTTTTTGTTTTTGATTAATGTATTTATAAGTCAAAAAATATCGGTCCACTTTGTACGTTTCTGTATTAATTTTAATTTATGAAAATAACAAAATCAATAATATTTATATATATAAACGATCATGTGACTAAGTTAAACTTGATAGCAACCAAAACTGGATGAATGTTGTGGAACATCATGTTTTTATTACACAAAGTATTATAGGTTAAGAGAAATTGCAATTCTGTTGTTACACATAACTTTTAACGTGTTACGAATTTATACATAAAATATTGTTGCCGTAGTTGTAGTTAATAAATAGTGTAGATTATAAATCATTATTAGTGAGATTTCACTATTCGAAAATGAAGCCATGGATATTAAAATATACTAGTTAAATCATTTTAATTTTTGAATTCTATTATAGTGGGATAGCACTCACAAACAGCAATGTTTCATATTACTTAGGAATAAGTTATTATATAAATAAAAATATTAAATTGAATAAAGTTTCTTTATTAAAACTTTAAACTACACAGAAGATAATTACTAAAACTCATCTCTTAATATCGAACCTATCTATCAGCATAGATCACTCGAACTCAAACCTTCATGTGCCTTTGACATATTACTTTATTGTACTTACAATAAAAACTAGATAATGATATAATGTAACTTTCAGCTTAACTCATAACTGAAGTGACCTATTTACTTGAATGACAAACAACTGCCAAAACACAATTGAACAAATAAATGCCACGTACGCGTGACAATAGCAGAATTTTTTGAACATATCATATCTGTGTAATTGTACACATAATCCTAAAATTCCAAAGTTGGCTATACGTTATAAAAAATATTACATTATTCCTAAACTTTTATATATTACACATACGATCCAACAATATCATAATTCAATTTAAATTTACAATCATAATTTGCTTATTCTAAAGGTTCTACGTCATAATGCATTAGATTTATTGTTTGAAGATGCGCTGATTCAATGTGGTTATATTTTAGATCGCCGCGTTAAATCATATACTGTACAGACAAATGTATGTACACAACATTGTGGATACTAGGGCACGTTTAAAACGTGTAAGCAGATCGTTATATAAGCAACAAAACAACTATTCTCTGTCGCACCATCTCAGATCGACACAACAAATATTTTTAAAACAGAAAAAAATATGTCGAAATGAACATCTTTAAGACTTAGCCTATTGCACGTTTAGTATTTTAAAAATTGATGATAAATCAATAAATAAATTTCCGAAACAACTTTGAAATTAAAAGCATATAATTTAATGCATCGCAACGTGGCGCCAAAACGATTTTATTCACTGTGAGATATATCGTTAGCGGAGAGTTTTATAACTGGCTGCATTGGTATCTCGGACGAGGTTTCGGATGAATCCGAGCCGGGCGTAAACATCCGCTGCGACCACTGGCTGCTGTCCTCGGTTTCGGACTCCCTGACGTCCATCGAACAGGGCGAGCCGACGGCGGACTCCACCGATGACACTGTCCTGTCCGTCACGTCGTCCGTCAATATCGGCATTGACTTGCCCACGGACTCGTCGTCCGTAAGGAGCGGCATGGAAATCGGCTCGACGGGCGCGTCCGCCTTCTCGGAGACGAAAGCGAGCTCCGCTCCGGGCGAGGGGAGCACCGCGGCACCGTAGTTGTTGCTCAGCGGGTCCGTGGTCTTAGGCGCTATCCGTGGATCCGTCACCGTGATGGGCAGCTCTAGCGATGTGGGCACGGTCGGCGGCGTCACGCCTATCACGGCCAGCCCGTCCTCCAGGTTGGCCGGCACGGCGGGCTCCGTATCGACCTTGGTCGGCACCTCGACGGGCGTCATTATGGGCTGGTTGAGGGTCGTGCTGGTCTCGGAGACGCGGCAGTGCACAGAGACGTTCGCGTTCAGGTCCCGGAAATCGGGCGCCTCCTCGCGCGCGCCCTCCGCGTGGAACACGTCGCTGTTCGCGAGCGCCGCCTCCAGTATGTCCCTGCGCTCCGGTTGCGGCGCTATAACGGGCAGGGGCTCCGCCATCGGCACGAGCTGGTTGTTCTCCAACATCAGCGGTCGGTTGTCCACTATCGTGTAGTTTCCGTTGTCCTCCACGCACAGGTAGAACGAGCCGGGTAGCCCCCCGAAATGCTCCCCGGGCACTGCCAGCAGTTGGCCGTCGGAGATCGCCGCTTGAGGGGGCGCGCTGGGCTGATCTGGCTCGGGTTGTACCACGACGGGCTCGCATTGTCGCGCAATCGCGGTCGACGGCAAAAGCTCCTCGAAATTCTCCAAGTCAGGGTACGCAGAGCCCGTGGCGGCCGCGCTTAGAACGGGTGGTATGGTCGTCGACATTGTATTAGACAAGGGCGTCAAAGCCGGCATCGGTGATATGGGCGCAGGAGCAGGAGCTATGGGTATCTCCTGTTTGGGCTTCTTAATCGGCATCCGGGATTCGACCGTGCCCTTTCTTACCCTTTGCTTCGCTGTGCTCACTAACGTCGGTTCACTTACCGGCGGGTTAACAGACTTTTGTAGGACGATTTTATTTTCCATCACAGGTCCAGGTGATTTTGGTATGAACTGACCCGTCCTTTGCAAATGCTCAAACTGCGCTGCAGTTATCTGCATAACAGTACCGGATTTCCTTTGAAGGAATATTAACGGTTCCGGTCCATCTTTCTGAATTGTCTGGATAATCTTTTTCGGCTCCGCGGGCACTATCCTCTTCAAGGCGGGTCTTATTTCGGGCATCGGAGCGATGTTCTGGGTGGAAGACACTAATCCCCCAACAATGAGTTGACCCTTTGATGTGATGATTGCACTTTTTTGCTTGGGCACGATCCTAGTTTGACTCTTGGCCGTGGCCACTGATGGAATAGTCTTCTGCTGAATACCTGAATTTGTTGTTATCCTTTGAGTGAACGTCTTCAGTTGTGATACGTTCGCTTTATTGGGGAACAAAATCTTTTCGTGTTCCGGCGTCAGGATAATTTTTGACTGACCGCCTTGAGAGTTGGTAATGATCATGACAGTGTTACCCGGTGAGGCGTTGTCCGAAGTAGACTGCATAAGTTTCGCCGAAACGGTCTTGGTTTCCGGTGCGCCCAAATTCGTTTCGGCGCCCTTCCCAACGAGCACATGGGCCTTCCCCGTTTGGGGGTCTATCACGATTTTTTGCGTCCGCGATGTACGTGGCGAACTAGGCGAAGGTAGAATTATGAACTTTTCCGTTTTCGCGCCAGCCGGCTGAACGGTCTGTAAAAGAGCGGGTGGTGCTTGTTTCACCTCTTTCGCCACGGGCTCCGATTGCGTCATTATGATTTTCTTTTTGCCAGTGGCTTTTTCTATAACCAACATAGGTTTAGCGCCGCGCAGCTTCGACGACTTGGAAAGAATATTGGGAGTTGTCACTTTAGCACCTTCGTTCGATGGACCCATTACAATTGTTTTGATTTCCGCCTTACTGGTTATAGGACTTAACGCGATCTTCTCGCTTTCGATTACAGTCTGTTTCGTTTTCAAAAGTTTTGGTGGATTAGTTGGATTCGTTATGATGTTGCCGTCGGACATTACAATGGGCATTTTTTCAATGTTCTCGGGCGTAAGTATATCGTCGGACAATACTACTGGCATAGAATTAATGTCAAACATAGGTTCCTCGTTTGATGATTCAGTAACGGGCTTTATATCATTGACGTGGGCGACGAGTGAAGTCTGCGGTTTTATTTTTTGTAATTTCGCCATAGGTTTGGTGACTTTTCTAATTTTCTGTTGGATTAGTATAGTGTTAGTGTCAGTAGGAGTTTCCGGTGATGTCTGAATAGTATAAGTCTGTACGGATGAGCCGTCCTGAGCAGATTTGTTAGTGCGCGACAATATAATCTTATCAAGGCTAGAAACTTCGTTTACATTGTTCAACAAGTTCTTACTTGGCATAGTTCGACGTATGATTATTTTCTGTTTGGGCGACTGTGACTTACCTTTAAAAGACTGTTTGCCAACGTCGAAATTTAGTATTTTCTCTTTCCCGGGCATTATAACCTGTTTCGTCAAAACCGTTTTACTTGATGATACTTTCGGTGTAGAAGGCTCTTCCAATATCTTTAATAATTTAGATGACGATGTTTCGTACAACGTCGTTTTACCATCCGATTGTTCTGCATCAGTTTCTTCAGACATTAATGCTAATTTTTGTTCAACAGTGCTTTCACATTTACCACTACCTTTCTTGGCACAGCCATTTTCATCTTTAGTTCCTGAATTTACTTCACCGAAATTTATAGAATGATCGATTGACTCTGACATCTGTACCAAAGATTGTGCCGCATTTAGATTTTCACTTTTTTCTTGCTCAGTTTCATACCGAACTATGCTTTCGTTTTCGTTTGCAAAATCTGACGCAAGATCTGTAACCTTCAAGTCTTTTGTACAGACTGCCTTTATAACATTTTCATTTTCTTGGATCGGCTTGCACGCCTCTGATGACTTAGATTTATACGGCGAAATTGGGCCCTGGTGTTCATTAAAAGTTTTATTTTGAATAGCTGTTGATGGTAAATTGATGAGAGCCTCTGCGATTTGGAGATCACATTCTGTTGGAACATTATCAGAAGGATCGTCTTCGTTATCTAAATGTCTTTGTTTAATATCATCATCATATGACACACTTTTCGTGTTATCGTTCTCTAAAATTGTATCCTTGCTATTTTTAGTTGCACTTTCATTTTCAGGAGCAACGTGGTTATCAGTACGTTCAACTTCACTCTCTTGAAATGCGTCGAGCTTATTGTATTCTGTCTTATTATAACCATTAAGAATGTTAACAGGGCAGCTATCTCTTTGGTCATCTTCAAACAGATCCTCTGGTGGATCATCACCAATATTTTTTGTAACACGATCGTTCTCCCGAGATACACTTAGTAAAGCGTCTACAGCTGTCTTAGTTAAATGGGATTCGACGGATTTATCGTAACTTAGTCGTTGTGCTTCTATCTCATTCTTTTCAACACAACACAATTCAACTTCTGTATTATTTTCTTTTGTAGTTACAGTCAGAGTTTCTTTTTCGATATTATCATCGTTTACAATTGCTTCTTCGATCATAGATTTCCCTGAAATTTCATCATAACTGTCATCTTTGCTGGTCATAATCTTGGAGGATGAATTCGAAGTTGATACTGCCTCTCTGTTTGGATTAATTTGAGAAAAGTTAAATGGGTCAATAGTTGAATTTTTTTCAATTGTAAGATCATTCGTCACATTTATTTTAACTTCTGATGGTATTGTTGTATTATTTGATATATCGCTTTTGTTACGATCTAAAATACTTCTTTCTTTCTGCTGCTGTTGTTGAGCGGCTTCAGCTTTCATCTTTTTAAGCTGTATTTTAGGAGCCAGACGTGCGACTTTAATATGCTCAACTGGCGAATCTCTAGGTTCGGGTGAAGACGTAACCTCTGCGCCGTTTGTTTCACTTTCAGACATATCCATTCTCTCAGCCGCATTCAACTGCTCTGCCACATACTTCCCTATAGCGTCTTGACTTCTAGAGTGTCGACTCCGAAAAAATGTTTTCGTTTTAAAAATTGTTTTAGTAGGTTGATCACTAACACTTGCATTTTCTTGAGGGTTGTTTGCTTCAGGTGCTTTTTCACTGGCACATGAATCAATCGTTTTATCCGGTGATTTTACTATCGAGAGCTCTGGAAAATTTTCCTCGACTTTCAAAGATTCTGGCACCGATGGTAATTCAGGCACAACCGTTTTATTCAGTAATTCTGCTACCTCTTTAGCTACATCGTCATCCTCGACACTAAGGCTTTTAATACTTTCTTTACGCTTAGATGGGTTTTTTACGCGAGGAATTTTTCTACCAGCATCTTCTTCTAGGGACCAGTCTTCATCTTCACAAAATTCATATTTAGAATCACTAGAAGATTCGGGTTTTTCTGACGATTGTAGTTCTTCAGAACTCTTGCGTACAGAGGATATTTCTTCAGGGATCTGCGCACTTGGCAGTTCAGCTGGTGTCGGCACATCGGGAGACTCAGCCCCCACAGGCACTTCGGGAGACCCCGTCATAGCCATTGTTGATTCATCGTTCGAATCTTCACCCACATCATCCCAATCGGCTAAAAGACTACTTTTAATTTCCGCGTCAGTCTTCGGCTTCTTTACTTCTATCTCTACAGCTTGTTCTTGCGATAAACGTTTTTGTGCTTGGCTATTATTATTTACTTTAACAGGCTTTTCTTTTTTAATTTTGCGTACTTTTGGGGTTTTACATGAATTGGGTGTTGATTTTACTTTTGCAATCTTTTTCCTCACTGGTGATGGTGTGTATGGTGTAAATGTAATACTATGAGTTTTGTTGTGCATGATAAGAACATTGAGTCGCGTCGTAGTAAACGAACATGCATGACATGAATATATACCACTACTAGACATCGTAGGGGTGGTAAAAGCTGTAACAGGTTGCTCTACAGCATTTTCAGATTTTTCAGACTTTTCTTCAGCTGCTTCGGAACCCGCGCGACTTGTTGATGGTGTAGAAGAGTTGTCTGTAGCTTGACTAACTGGGGTTTTTGATCCCTGTACTAATATATGCACCTTGTAATTAGTTTTTTCCTGCATCTGTAACCAAACAAATTAGAGATTTAAAAATCACCAAAAAAAAAAAAACAAATTAAATAGTAGTGAATGGTCACAGTAACACCAATTCAAATACAGTAGATATAAGATGTCAGCACTGCCATAATTCAATGATGTACATGAAAGGACTAAAACTGGACAATATGAATTAAAAATTAGTTAAACCAATATTTTAAACTTATGATTTATTTTAATAAAATGTTTATAAATTTTCGAACTTTAAATGCATTTGTATAAATTTACACATTGTTTATAAATTTTAGTGCTTTTTAAATTATTGAATGACTAATACAATACTATTTTTTAAAGATGTATTTTAAAAAAATGTTCTGCTATGTTAAAATTAATCTTCTGTCCATTAAACCTTTTTTAATTACCTTTCTTGTAGGTGTTGACTGCTTGTGATCTGAAAGTCGCCTTCCACCTCTGCCTATAATAAAAAACATACGAGTTTAAAGTAGGATATAAAGTATATATAGAAAAAAAAAAATTATATGGTACCGATAACAAATTATAAAGAAAAATATTTTAAAATAATTTATTTCCACAATGGAAAAGAGGATTCTTAAGAAACCATAGTCATAGAAATGTCATAAGTAATAAACATATAACTTATTGATTCATGCTACTGGGATAAAGCTCATAGTAGGTAGCCTAAAACATAAAAATCTTATAATTCTTCCACAAAAATAGTTATTAAGCAAAAATAAAAATTGCTGATTATAGTCAGTAAAAATTATCAATAAAATTGACTATCACAATCTTCTTCAATGCTTTACATAAGCAAGGATTATCATCTCTACCACAGTCATCAATTCCTTGATTTTGACAAAACACCTGTTTTATGACTAAATCTAGGTACTTTTAAAAAAACACATTGTCGTATAAACAACAGCGTGTTTTTATTGAATAATGGCGATATATATAACATTGCAGAAATGCAGCAGCGGCTCTGGATTATATGAGAGAAACATGAAATTCAGTAAGAACTGTCTGTGGATCAAACAATTTCGAACTAACAATTTTGCATAAGGTAAGCAGACTTGATGGGGCAAATGCGCATTAAAACTGGAAGATAGACTAATGTAATTTGGAGTCGCAAATCAAAGTTTTAGATTTTCAGAACCAACAGTTGTGCATTTATATGCTAGTCAAAATAAGAAAAATGTTTAAAAGTATTTACAGGGCCTACTATCAAATTTAGTGGCAGTAAATTTACAGTTTAACTCTGTTTTATAATTCTTCAGGTTCTGCGGGATCTCACCCCAATGGAATAAAAGTCAGAATAATGATCTCAACATTTGTGGAAACTGTGAGAACAGAACTCTGAAAGATAAAAAAAAGCGAAAAGATTATAGTTGTCTAAAAACTGTTTTCAATATTTTTCTATCTGTTGATTTGGTTACTAAAGATAGAATTTCGACCTAAGTATTATGGAGCTAATGTCAAATACCTATTGTTAGTATAGAAACTGGCTGTAAATAACTTTTCTTCAATTGAACTTGTTTAGGATAAACTTTATTAAAGAGAGCAAGTGGAACCAGTTGAATGTAATACTATTATTGTATTACCATTATTAATTTATTACCATTACATATATTATGTTATGATGAAGACTATTTTAAGCAATTAATTAATGGAATGCCTCGAATGCAATAAAAAAAAGAAGTAAAATAAGTGAAGTGCACTTTAGTGAAGCTAACATTTTATTTTATTTTCAAAAAACGAAATAAATGAATATAATTAGGTCTTGCATGTAGATTTTGGACTGTCAAAACACTCAAAAATTTGTATGTCATTCATACACAACATGATCACTACATTGTGGATTAAATAAACATGATTTTGCACAGATAAAAATAGAAGTCTGTGTACAAATAAGTCATTCTACCTTTTTTAGTTGACAAGGGAGTTCTTTTGCCTGGGTCACCAAACAGGCCGGCATAGCTCTCCTTTTTTTCCTCTTGAAATTCATCTCTAGTAAGAATTTTTATATCACCTCCGACTGCTGTTTCTGCCCTAATTACATCTTCAGGAAATTTTTCCATGTGGCCATGTTTCGTTCTGTACATATCTGAAATGAATTAAACAGCTTTATAATATTACACGTTAAATTAATAACATATAGCTTTAATTATACCTCTTCTATATTATTAATTTAACCATTCTGAGTATTATATTCTATTAAGCGATGATAATCTCCGTTAAGAATCTAAATGTGCGAGACTTCTTTGGCTAAGTGTTAAAGCATATGATGAGGTATTAAGAAGAAAAATAGTATCAATTTTATATTAAAACTAGGGATCATAAAATAAAAGCACATAAATCCTGAAAATGGTCAACTGTTGGGCAAAGACCTACAATGTACAAGGGCATTAGGGTATGGTCCACCATGCAATCCAACCTAGGATTGGCAGTCTTCCTAACAATATTTTCCTTCACTTAAAATTCAGTACTTAAAATTGCAATCTTAAATAACAAAAATACAATTAATTTCATGGGAAGAAATTTGAAATCTGAATTTGAGGTCCCTTGTGTTCATTGAATCGAATAACACTTGAAAAAATACCCAGGTAATGAGCTATCTCAACTTGATATGACACTTGAAATTTTTCTACAAGAAAGAAAAGTTCTCACATGCAAAATAACAAGTTGTGTAATCATTAAAAAGTATTATGAATAATAAGAGGTGTTAATTTCTATTTTCCATCAAATGTGTTACGAACAAATTGATGGCAAAAGTTTGATGTGAGAAAAAGTATTGACCCAATATTCAAACACAAGCTTTACAAGGCTAAAATGTAGTAATGACATGTACATAATTTGTAAAACTTACACAGTCCTTTGTTGATAAATTCTGTTTTCCGGCTACAGTTGTATTTGTAAATAGAATTTATGTTCTTCACATATTCACTGAAAATATAAAAAAACAATTTTATTAATAAGTAGGCATTTTAGAACTTTAATAGCACTAAAATAAATCTTATTTTTCCAAAAAATATTTAGGCAATAGAACATAAATATAGTCTCCAGACTTAGATTTTGCAAGCTAATGTTATGTCTATATCGAAATATTCTACTACATTTATTGAAACAAAACATTATATTAAACTTATTTTTAAAGTTCATACAACAGATATGATTTATTAAACCAAACACAGTGTTTGAGTATTCTTTCAGGTTATATTAGTAAACTTACAAAGTATCTTCTTGAAAAAATTTGACAACAGCAATAGGGGGCTTCCTAAACGATGGCAGGACATCTGGTGGAAGCTTCTCTGGTCCCACCACTTCACCGGGCCACCAGCATGAGCCCAGCTTCACCCATACCACTTCCCCATCCAAATAATTTATTTCAGACTGTTCACACATCACCACTTATCTGTTCAGGCGAAACGCACAACCATATTTTGTTCTATAGCAAGTATAGGTCGAGTAGATCAGTTATCATAATATCATCTAAATCTACAATAACTCTTTGTATATTAACCGCAAGTGAAATAAAAAATGTAATAAAAGTATATTTTTAGTGATTTGGTTGCGTATTTGTCAATATTCTCGCAAAATACTAATAGTAAATAAATTCACCGACTGCGTACGAAATTACTCTTCTAACATTCTTCAGGTGGTAGCCCTGAATGCATTATCAGAGAAATAAATGGCGCAATAAACGTGTGTTTAACTATATGTAATATTTTTAAATCATAAAAAACGAAAAAATTACTAAATAATGCAATACAACAATAATACCATAGCATTTATGTTAAAAAAGATAGTATACAACTTCACCGGAAGTATAGACAATGGCAGCGTCAGCATGTACCAACATAATATTATAATTTTTCTTGTGTTGCTGACAACAAAATAATCGTAGATAGATAAAAAATTACTTTTCAATACCTAACTTATTTTAAGCGAATGTTCTGGCTATGAATTTCATATATATTTTAGACTAGCTGACTCAACAAACGTTGTTTTGGCATATAAATTATTTCTAGGGAATTTGTCAATCTGCAAAAATAGAAAAACAATTATTGGAACGCACTCATAAAGTGTTCGACAGGTAGGTTACACAGCATAGTTGATAGGTTGATAGGTACAGTTTTTATGGGAAAATAAAATTGTTGATATTTCGTTTTTCCATAATTTCCTAGCTTCTAAACGTTCTTTGGACTGCCAAAAATATGTCAAAACCAAAATTTGCCAAATCTGGTCCAGCCGTACTCGAGTTGTAGCGAGACCAACGAACAGCAATTCATTTTATATATCGATACCTTAATTGGCAAACAAGCTCCATGGGCAAGTTTTACAGGAGACACTTAAAACTGTATAATATTTTTTTTTGAGTACTTATGAGAAAATCTAAAATATAGTTGGTAGATATTATGGTAAATTGTCATTCTTGATATTATAAAATCCATTATACATTTTCATTACCATACTACAGCGTTTTTTAGGAGTTATCCGTTTTTTCTTTCGTGCAAAAGTATGTGATCTGGGAGTTAGCTGGTTTTCTTCATAGATTTATTTTAAATAAAAACTTGCTTTTTCTTTTCAAGTGTACAACCAAAGCGTCGTAGGGTTTTAAAAATTGGTTATTAACAACCAGAAAAGAGTCAGGTTTATTGGTATCATCAAATTTTATTTTATTTTTTAATATCTGTTGTCATCTTCTTATAAATAATAATTCTATTGTTAGAATTACTTTATCAACTAAGAAATTGGTTAAAATCGTTGCAAACTAATCAGAACTCAGCTTTTGCCTTCATTCCATAGAAAGGAACACCCATCTCTAGTTTTCATATCATAAATACGCACGTTTTTAAGGGTGGTATATAAAAGCATTAACTTTTTTACATTTTTAATGGTCTTTCCTATCTCTTTGCCTAATAGTATCTAAAATTCTTATTAAATTATCAATGTAAATTCGTTTTTATCCCGCCATATTTCAAAATTTATCAAATAATATTTTTCTTTTTGAGTTATTGTTTTTTTTTTTTTTTGAGTTATTGTTTTTGCAAATCACGCGGAATTATTATTGCATACAATCAAAGCCAAAAAATATTTTTGACCAAAGGTGGAGTTAGCTGGTTTGCGAATTAAGGTATCGATATATAGAAGAAGATTAAAAGAACAAAAACGAACTGTCAGGTGAATACGTGGAAAAGCTTATATTAATTGAGGAGCGTCGGAACAAAAACCGATATATCACATTTTTTAAGGAAATTAAAAAATAATACATATGTTTATGGATTTCCAATATGAAGTTGAACAAATGAACCACAGTATATTTATCTATGAAATGAACAAAGTGCTTGGTATCTTGGTTACACTGTTTTGGTAACCAAATCACAGATATGTGCAACTGCACTGTGCAGTATGTGATCAAAAATTTAAAAAAACAATGGATTTATCAAACTGACTGATATTTCCTTGTATAACATCATTTTTTTTAGATGTATTCGTTTTAAATCTCGCATTCCCTCTAGTTTTTCATAAAATGTTTCTCGGTGTTTGATATTCTTTAAACTCCAACCTTCAACAACACAGTAATAAAACTTCCCCATGTGTCCTATAAAGATTTATAGGACACATGGGGAGGTGGGTTATGGACTTGTCGGTTTTTAAATAACCAAATACATGACCCATGAAAATTTCTAGGGATTTGTCGGTGTATTTTCCAATCGTGGAACAATTCGATAGTTTTATCGTTATATGTTCGGATTAGTGTCATTCGAGAATGTTTTTAAAGATGATTTAGTCGTTTATAAATAGATTTGGTACAAGATGGCTATCGATTGTTAAAATGTGATTTATCGGTTTTTGTTCCGACGCTCCTCAGTTGTGAAAAGTTTTTGGATCCTAATAATTATGTATTTTCTTTTTTTCTTACATAGTTTCCTACGTCCAGACATTCGTAATTAACTAATTAGTAAATCGAGCATTAGTAGTAAAGTTAAGTAGCAGCCTATATATTAGAGCTTATTCCACCACACGACTGCATTGCGGATTGACGGACTTCACAATATTGTTAAATTTTTTTTAAAATTATTATTTCTAAAACATGCAGGCTGTATACTGCATATTTGTAGTGATATATCACCCTTAGTTAAAAATAAAAGAGAACTTTTTTCCATTTGGACAGTTAGACAAAATGCTATTTTTCTTGAACTTTGATTTTAACTTATGATTTAAATGACTGTGTATGAATTAAGTTTTTAGTTTAGTTAACTAGAAATGGATTGTATAATAAATGGCTAAGGACATAATTATATCAAAAAAGTTTGCGATCAGGTTTAAATATTGATTTTTGTATTCTGGAATAGTCATTTTTGACAAATTTATTTTTCTAACAAAGTGTGGATTAAAATAATGCTAAAAGGATTATCAGATGTTTTATAAGTAAGAATTGTAACTTTCCTATCAGAGAAATAACACGCAGAGCTGGTGTATCCCAAACCTGTATCTCGACCACGTTACCACGGCATGAATAATTTAGCTTACAGACTCCGCAGTGTTCGCCCAACAACAAAAAGGTTTGACTTCTGCTCAAAAGCACTATATGAGATTGCTGACACCCTGTGACCCATCAATCAACGCCACTCAATAAAAAATAATAATCAATAAAAAAAAGAGAGCAGATTTGAAGGCTGCCACTGGACTTGAAGTTAGCACTCAGACCATGCGAATACCAGCAGGATTTTTCGTGCCCCGTTGAACTCATGGCAACGACAGTGACAGCAACAGAAATTGCAGTGAGCTAGGCTCCGGCAAAATGAAGAAGAAGAGGGGGAAAATATTTGGCATATATCTATCAGTATCCATACAAATAACCGATGTGTCCGTGACTGGAGAAGACTTGGACACTCCGAAAGGCAAAGAGCTGCCACTAGAACCGTTCTGCTAGGTTAGAAATCGAAATCTTTTTGGGGTTGAATAATGACGTACAATAAATGGGATGCAGGAGTTCAGGGAAGCCACTATTCAAGAATGGACCAGATTACCGCAAAAAATGCTGGGAAAACTAGTTCGTCAGCATCCTAAGGAGGATCTTTTTATGCTTTCGAGCCAGGGGAGGAGTTATTTTGTATCAAATTTGACGTAAGTTTCATTAAACCCACTTTTTTTCGATTAAAAGGATGACAATTTTTACAGCTTATACTAGGAAACCTACACAACCGTGTATAATGTTTATTGAACTTGATTGATTATCGATTGACATATAAACCGTTTTTTCACCTTTACAGCTGGCGATGCACTTAGTCACTTAATTTATTTTTTTGTTACAAAAATACGACAGTGGCTTACACAGCTTGCCCCAATGCATCAATATATGTATTGATCATCTATATGTGTATTGTTATTAATATGATTAAAATAAAAGGATAATTTAACACCAATACATTGGAATAATCAAATTTATGGTGCTAGGGCCACGCAGCAGCCTCGGCTGTTGCACGAATGGGCAAGCCCGTCCGGCTAAGTACCACGACCTCACAGAAGACCAGCGTAAAGTGGAAGTATGACAAATACTTTCGCGTTTCGTCTAGTGAGTGAGTAGCCGGAGCCCAATTTCCAAAAAGGTTGTCAACGCATCTGCAAACCCTCGGGTGTAGCAAATGTCTATGGGCGGCTGTATTCACTTACCATCAGGTGAACCGTCTGCTCGTTTGGCAACTTTTCACATAAAAAAAAGAATAATCAAATGTAAAATAACTCGGGGTTCATCAGTGGTAGGACCACGCAACAATTCGCTGTTGTACGAATGGACTGGTCCGCCCTTGGAAGTAGCACGACCTTACAGAAGCCCAGCGTGAAGTGGAAGTGTTATACTCCACCGTATCGTCTGGTGACGACGTAGGTAGCCGGGGCCGACTTTATTGAAAAGTGGCAACGCATCTGCAACCCCACGGGTGTTGCAAATTTAGAGGGGCGGTGGTTATCACTTAACATCAGGTGTACCACCAGCTCGCTTAATCTAGATACTGCTATATACTCAGATACATAATAATGTATTGTATTTTTATAATGTAATGTATTTTTTTAAATAATATGATAATAAAAATCAGTAGCCGGCCTAGTAACCTTCAAGTGTGTAATAATAATGTTAATTATTAATCAATTTAATATGCTATAATTTTATATTAGCGTGATATATATTGGCGAGTGGGGTAACCAGGGTCATTACTTTTAAGTGGGTGGCATAAATTGCTTTATATAAGGGGGAAAAAAAGGTCTGCCTCTGAACAAAAGAAGAATTTTACGAGATGCGTTATACAAAATCTGTCATAACCTTATAGATTGCATCCCTCTTAATAATAACTTGTGTTATCGCATCCCTAGTTGTTCTCAGCGCATCCGTCTAAAATACTCTCATAAATTATTCAATGTAAATAAATGTCGAACTAACGGCGGTTTACGCTCGCCGATGCAACGCATAGTGCAATCATACAACAACAACTTCACAAGTATGGATATTTTTGCTACTACGACTTCTTATTTAAAAAAAAATGTTACTAAATATTTAAATGTACAATAAATCAAAATAACATGTATAATCTTATCTCGCTACCTTATGCATTATATACATAACTTTGGGTATAGGGTGTTGAATGTACAATATGTTAATAATTAATGTTTATATTTAATGTTAGTAATATGTTAATGTTTATAATTTTTGTATGCCTTAATAAAATAAAATAAAAATAAAAAGTAAATCACCAGCTCGTTTTCCACCATCTCTTGCTAAAATAGCTTCTCACATTTCGTGGCCAAAAACTCTAACTGCATTTCCTCAATGAAAGCATAGTACAGAAAAAAGAACCAGCGATCTTGTCGTCCCAAACAATAACAAAATAACGATGCTATAAAACGTATAGGGAATTACAAGATTCTTTGGAGCCATTTAAGAGATTTATAATACAAGAATCCAGAAAATTTATAGTTATACATACGAAATAACGGGGTTATCATATGTTTTATGACTTTGTCGTTCTTGTTTTTCTGCCCCCTTTTTTGGTACTGTTTTCGGTGTATTTCTGTTCAAATTAAATACAAATGTGTTTTATTACTTGACGTATATTTAGGATAACGAAAAACCACTATTTATTACATAAGAGCAAACTGCATATATTAAGGCTGTCACTTAAAATCATTTATGTAAACTACATACAAAGTACACTACTACATACAATCATTTATGTAAACTAAATATTGGGTGAAACTACAATTCAAAATACATTGTACTTTTTCTGAATATAAATTGGATGAAAGTGTCTTTATAATAAGTTATTAAAACTCTTGAACATTATTTACATATTTATTTACGTACTACAATTTTCCTCAACCTTTTATTCATCAGTCTGTTATAACGTTTAGTACGTTAGTAAAACTATTTTTAAACTCAAATTGCATGAACAATCCTGTTTTCTTTATCCCGATATTTAATAAAATTTACTAAACTGACCCATCAGATGGAATTTAAATTCCCTCTAATTGAAAATATCAGAGGAATTTTTGCACAATATGTATAAATTTTATGTTCCTATCTATTGTAACGAAATGAAATTATCCATATTGAGTAAAACAAGCCGTCACACAGATTTAGTCCTCGGCCTTGACAATACGTTTCTCTTTGCAACGTAACCACGCCGCTCAGCCGGAATACTGACGCACGATCTTGGCCCACTGTTGCGGGAAGTTTCTTTGCACGTAAGCCAACGTGCGCTGAATTTGTTTCGTCTCTTGCGGGGTGCACTGTGGACAGGCGCCTCGCAGTACTAGAGGTGCCAGGGCTAGAAAAAAAACGGGAAAAAATGTTGTCGTTGTCGTTTATTATTTGACGAGCCGTTTTAAAAACGTTTCAATGATATTGAATGAAATGAATGGTTACACAACGATATTGCAACCTAAAGAAATGTTTGCTTATATCCAATATGAACGACCTAGCCACTAAACTCGTGAATATATTTAATATTCACTGTATGATATTTTTAGGTAACATTGATTGTACTCTCGTCACAGGATTAGACAGGTTTTTTTTTTATTTATTTTAACAAAGTAACTCTACAGACTCGTGGTCCGTACTCTTTTTTGATTAACATGACTTTTTTTTTTAATTTTTCTTTTTGGGCTCACCGCCGCGTTCATCAACCGGGCTGGTAACGGCGCAGCAGTGAGTTCATATTTATTGTTTTTTTTAATAAATATATATAGGTATATATATAATATAATTAATTTATATATATTTTTGATCTGCACAGTTTTTGCTGTAGGATGTAGAATGGACGGAGACCTCGTCGTCGCAGGTTATTAGACAGGTTACATTCTGATTGGCATCCACGGCAACTTCGAAGTAGGTACGTTCTAATATTATGTGATACCTCATTGTCTAGGCGCTCGCTTTTGATTCAGTATACTCGAGCAACCTGAATTGAATCCCCGGTGCTGGCACCAATGAAATTATTAATTTTAATTGCTGACATAATTTTCACGTTACGACAGGTCTTATGTTAAAATCAGACAAAAGGTGATGTAGAGCTGTAGAGCATGTCAAAAAACTAGATGTAAATGAAAAGTACTGACAAACACAAGCATACGCTCAAAAATATTACACTATTTCGACAGGCGTGTAAAAGGCATAAATGTTTTTTTATCTGTACTATATTTACAGCACGCAAGGCCTGTGCCGTTAACCTATAAGGGAGCGGTCGATATAGATGAGTTATTAATAATGCAAACGAACTCACTTTTGAGGCGTTTCCCGATTGGATCACAAGGCGCCTCCCCGAGCGCGCACTTCAGCTGTCTCTGAATGAAACGTTTGTCGTTCAGGGCCTCCTCAAGGGCAGTGTCCGACACTTGGGGCCGCTCAGTTTGTGTCTGCGCGATGCCCGTCGCTACCAGTGCGCACAGCACCACCGTAAACTGGATGACCTGAAACAGGTTCCCGGGATGAGCTTTAATTGTGATGTCACAAACCCACCAACGACCATGTAAAACTGCAGCCTTAAGCAACATTATGAATGAGATATTATAAATTAAAGTACTTTTGCTTCGCGATAAATCAAAATTTAATCCCGATTACCATGAAAATCATTTGAAACGTAGCAAATGTCAAATTAAATAGGAAGCAATTAAATCGGTAAAACGTTTTCGTTTCATAATTGCATAAAATTGTTATTATGAAATGATAATATAGTTACAATAAATGTAATTCAGTACATTGCTGAGAGGTATGGCTTTATGAGACGATACAGCGAACCCAAATATAGGAATAAATCATAACTTGTTTTTGAATATTCTTGTCCCCCTAGGAGCTGCTAATTTTATACTAATCTAACGCTCGGTTTTTGAAACACTAATCATCGTAGAAATCAACTAACTCATCGTAGAAATCAACATCATTCTGATCAATTCAGAGTTTAACAATCCTTTTGGTAACTCAAGTAAGATTTGAAAATCCATTTGACAGCTGGTTAGTTCTACGATATAATCGGTGTTTCAAAAACTGGGCGTGAGTGTGTCCTTGACTTTGAAATAAAAGTGAGAAGTTATATATTATATACATCGACCAAAAAGTTTAACATACAATCTGAGGGTAAGCTAAATGTGATATCGAGACATCAAATACCTCATCCTATTTTGAAGCCATTGGAGCTGCAAAGCTTTCAAAACCTAAGAAATTTATATCTATTCATCATCACTTTAAATTATAGTCTAAATAAATTGCAAACGCACACATCACGGAAAGCTACTGCATAGATTTCAATTAACGGTTCTAAGTTTTATTTCTCACACACAGCCCATAACAATTCCCTTACCCTTTTATTATTGTGATAAGTATGTTCATTTAATGTAAAATTATACAACGCATATATTATAAGCAATACGCGATCAGTGGTGTTTTCTAGTCGCGTATTTTGGGGTCTTCCATAATCATGTGATGGTCGAAAGGGGGGGAGGGAGTTTGGCAAAAATCACGAAATATCACAAGAGGGGAGGGGGGCTGTAGTAAGATATCTCTTGTAATTATTTTTTCGTGACGTGACCTTGACACGCCGTTACATTTTACCTGTATGTAAATTTATTTACCTGTATTTAATTAAAAATAAATTTATTAAAAAATAATATTCTAGAAATTGATTCTTTGTAAGCACTAAAAATACACGTAATTTTGGGTGGGGGTGGGGTGTAGTCTTAAACCACACCACGTATCACCAAGAGGGAGGGGGTTAAAAATTCTAACAAACATCACGTGATTAATGTACGACCCCTTTCTAGTCGCGCACTTATCCTGCCCCAACTCTAATAACTCTAGTAATAAATAATCAACGCAAACGAATTCGCCGATATCAGCTAGTTAAAGAACAAAATAATCCAATTTTAAATACGTAAAACATCGATTTATTTTTTAGCATAACCACGTTTTACATAGAATATAAGTGTAACAGATTTTATGATTTCATGTTTCAACAATAGGCTCTTAAATCGCATGTAGTCAATTGATAAACCACAAAGGAACCAGTTATACCTGAATATTGGATCGGCCTTGCCTTTAAAATATTTGTTTGCCTGCATAATGAGCCAACCTTTATTTTTGTATGCGTTTTTATATTTTTTCATAACGAATATATTTAAGTTTCCCAGTAATAACGATTCTGTTACAGAAAGTTAAAAACGGTATACGGGCTAGGAATACAACTAAGTTAATATAATTATCTTTCTCTTCATATAGTAAACCTTTATACCAAGCCTGAGTGTTATGCAAAGACAAAAGAGAATCTTCGTACTTGTAAACTTATGTCATAGATTATGCTCTCGATTTATTCCTATTTTTGTTAAATGGGTAATCTATATATACTTATTATAATTATCTGTGGATTAATTTAAATTATTAAATAAATTTACAGCGTGCACCGGGCAGCTATAAAAATTGGAAACATGCCTGGTTCTTGATAACATTAAAGTAACAGGTAATTGTTACTTCTTAGTACTCACTATGTTTTCAAATCACGTTCATGCAAGGATGGCAAAGACACATTTTATTGCGTCATAATCATGGTCTCGTTATGCTATCTGAAGATTAGTGCAAAAATCATATTAAAAAAAAAAAGTCTAATAATAGTTAGTTATGTTTTCTCGCATGACCAACAATACAATCATTGTGAATGATAGTTATTTTTCACGGTTATACCCAATTTCAAAAACAAAACATGCCGTCGTCCCACATGAAAAAAATAGCTGAATGATGAAATATTTAAAAATAATCTACTTCCCGGTTTGTTTTTTTTACAAATAGGAGTGAACAGGGAAAAAGGGAGATAATATTAAAAAAAGGAGAGGGCCGCTTATTTAAAAAAAGGCCTACATTAACTTATCAAAACCATTTGCTATTAATGCTAGTTAATTGGTACATGGGCTCTGTGAGTGCGGATATATTTCCATGACCTCACTGAGAAAATTAGCGAACAAACTACAACACAGAAAAATATTTTTGTTCCACATTAAACATTCTCAGTTTTCCAAAGCAACGTGGGAGTACAATGGAACAATATAAAGATAATAATCGCGGATCATTTTCTGTTATGTCAATATCTATATCTTAATTGCACTATATTGCAATTTCAACTTAATAAATGATATCTACTCGAACACCAAACATGAATGAAAAAAATATTTTTTAATACGTAACGTTCAAAGTGTATTAATTAAACGGTTTTATTTAGCTCGACCCGTATGGAATTTGTTTATTTATTTGGGTCAAAATTAGAAATTGAAATTTAAGCACCTTCCCGTTGTCAGATTGATCTGAAATTTGGTACACACATTTAATTTAGATGACAATACAATATTGTAGTTTTCAGTGCACATAAAATAAAACCGTTTAACTTAAAAGTTTTTGACTGTTAATTTTTTTATTTATGTTAATGTGTACAGCGCTGACGCTGAATAAACTTAAATTCCCGATGCTTTGAATGTTTTGCAGCGTTCATGATCACGGGCTGGAGGTATCAACTTAATTTGAAAAACGTTTAGATATGTATAAAAAATTTAAGAATTGTGTGTATTTATGTGTGCGTAACTGCGTACATAAGAAGTTCTATTTCTTATGTACGCAGTTACGTTTATAAATCAAAAATAAAAATGTTATTCCATGTGACAGTACCTACTCTTTGTTTGTGATAACGTTTTAATCAAATAACTTGAAATTATATGCAAATGTCAAAAAGTTGTTATTGGATGCCATGGTAATAACGGTATTACCAACACGGGGTATTGGTTACAAATTGCTTTGTAACAAACTTCATCATGTCGCTTTTTGGCTGTCATCGTAAAATTTTTAATAATTTCACGCAACAAAAATAATTTTTATTTGAAATAACCTAGGTACTTCTTAATCTTTCGTGTAGATAAAAATCATTTAATTTTTTCATATGAAGTGCAGAAAAAAGCACTAGAATTAAAAATGAGTTCACAGAATAGAATTGGAAACAAAACCGATGACAATAAATAAGTGTTGTTGATGAAGATTTCCATTTATGTCGTAACGATGCCCTAATGGCCGACTTAAGCAACGTTCATGTTGTATTGTTAAAGTTACGATCGTCCTTTTGTTTTCTTTAAAGACGCGAGGCATTATGAATCTATAGAACTTACTTAGGTAATTATATTGAGCTGGCAACTTTCAAGCTGCAATTGTGGTTTCAACCAAGCAAATACGTGTGCCCAAATAACCTTGAATCAATGTTTTGCGACACTCATACAAAAGCTCTGCAGGCAATATTTGTGAAGGACAAAATTATGTAAACAATAAAAGGTATGCCATGTCGAGTTCTGGTCAACCGCAAATTGTTATTTTGATAAGTATGACTAAAAACTCGTAGGTACGACATAAACGAATTAAGATGTTTACTGATTTTGGCACGAAATTCGAAGATTATTATTATATTTGACTTTACTATTGGATAATGAAATATCAGGAAGATAATACGATATAAAGATACATCTCTAATAATTTTAATTTGCTACAGTGACTTTAAAATTTGTCTTTAATTTACAAAGTCATACATTTAAATATATTAATATTTAAATATTTAAATATTATTTTACCATTTGTAAACAAATATTAAAAATAAACAATTTCATGCATCTGGAACAATTGTTTGAACAATTACTTTTTTGTGGGTGAGAATCGAAATCACTATAACTTAGTCGCTGCACCAACACTGCCATCAAAGAGTAAATTAATCCCAGTAAAACTTACATCAAGTAAAAGTTAATTGCGTCAAAACCTGTGATTCTTTCTTAATCATTGTAAGGACGTAATATGACAACATAGTTTCAAGAATATTTAAGAAAGTTTTATGAGTAATTTAAATTGCTATTATACCTCCCGACGTTTCGACCTTGATATATATATATATATATATATATATATACAATATTCCATAGTCACACGGGACACTGTAAAATTTCGAGAAATATAAAAATAGTCGCCAAAATATCCGTTAATTAGTTTATTTTAAAGAAGATTAATATAAATTTATATAACAAAATTAATAATTGTCCAATTATAACATATCGAAATTATTATGTTCAACTATAAGCTCCATGAACTTATTGAAGTATTAGTCGGGAATTTAAGTCCGTAAAGCAGCCTCATTCATATGTAAGCTACGAGTGAATACGCGAAAACATTATTAAATAACAAATTTCGACACAATATAATTTAAACAAATAATATGCCCCATAAGTGTGTTACAAATATGTTGCAACATCCTTCTCGGGTTCAACAATCTGCGAAATTCATTCGATGAAAGTCGACAGCGAATTACGAACGCGGAAACTCATAGTAAACTTAAAGTGTCCGTAACTTACCTGCAACTCATAGAGTAAACTTATAAGTGTCTGTAACTTACCTGCATTTCGTTTCTTCTTACGCTTAAAAGCAAAGTATGTAGACTGTCGCAACGAATCCGTGTTACTCAAGTCTAGATCACCGTTTAATAAATTATTAAGTTAGCACCAAGTTAGGGAGAGTCACTTGTTCAAACTTGCGAACGGTCCGCGAATGCTCAAGTGAACGTCTGTTCCATAACCTCTTACTTAACTCCCCACTCTGTACCAACTTGCATATAATGTCGCCGCGTCGGACGTAAACCAGACTCGGATGTTACGTGAAATGTAATAGCAACTGAATTAGTATAGCTATTCAAACGTATGTTATAAGTATATAAAATAGATGCCATTAAATTCGAATTTCCTAAAAAAAACACTGGCTTGTTTTGTAATAATAACGGCGTGACTCAAATGAGTGTCAATATATTATGTCATGGTATTCTTTGTTAGCAAAGAAAACTTTGTCATAGGAACGCATTAAAATGGATCTGAATCTTATCCATTTTCAAATTAGTATTATATGTTTACGCACGTAAGAATTTATACTACTTTGGCGTAATTAAATAAAATTCAACATATAATTAACACCGTTAAGTTAGAAGGCAGCTTTAAGTTAGGGGAAAAATGTTCATTTAGTAATAACGTTTATTTTTCTTTTGTTAAGCTTAAGAAGTATAACTTCTGACGTGGATATAAGTACAATCATACTGTTCTTTTCTGTTTTCATAAGTTTTTAAAGCAGTTCAAAGTTTTTTCATTACGTTTTCCTGTTCTGCGTTGCCGCTACGGTAATACAGACTAAGATATTCTCAGATATAACGATCTAGCCTGTACGATTTAAGAAAATGGTACAATTATTTGACAGAAAACAGTTATACAGTAATATCTCGACTTACGCAAACCCGAAGTTTTTGTCGGACGTTCAAGAACTGCTGGACTCGCCCAAACAGGAGTGGACAATTGATAAGCTCATAGAAATACAGGAGAAAGAGTAGGATATTGAATAAGACAATAAAATCAGAAGATCTATCGAATCAGGCTCACCTCATAGAATAATATTAATAATTTAATGGGAAGTTCTCAGAGGCGTCAGTTTAATTGAAAAGGGTGACAAATTTTACATAATATAGACTTCAAAGAAGAGAGTACTTTTTCAACGAAATACAATATAAAAAATATTATTACTCTATGAGGATGTTTTGCTGAAAAAAATATCTTTCAGCCAGAAGCAGCTAGCTATAATCTAACTTTGTTAGATTTCATTAAGCTAACATCAAAATAACCTCGCTTCGTGATTTTACACTTTTATTATCCAAGATTTTATGAAACATCTTTTTTCTCAATTATTTTGTACAATTTTCTATCCCAACTCCCAACTAAAGATAACTATATGTATGTAATTATGTATATGCAAAATTATACCCCAACTCGACTTATGCGGTTATCACCCTGTGCGAACTCTCGCGTAATATATTAAAAAATTACCGCAACAATTAAAAAATGTCACAAAAAAGTAAACGACCATAAAAATTACACAAAACTTTATTGATAAAATTTATTAATTATCCGTAAAAAGCAATGGTGTTGTATTGTTAAACTGTTCAGCAAGAAGAAACAACAAATATTTAGCATTAGGTATAAAAAGCATTTTTATTTGATCACATCCTACTGAATTCTTTTTTGTTTACACAGTTAATTTATTTATACAATATAGTTCATGTATGTGACAATAAATTAATTAACCTAGGTAAAATTTAATATTTAAATTAAATACATTTAATATTTACGGCTGATGTATAAAAAATAAAATGAAGTTTTCGTGGACTCAAATTTACGTATTTTATTTCGAGTAATACACAAATGTAACTTGAAATATGGTAGGAAACATTTGCAGTAAATGAATATTTAATATGACGTAGGTAATCATACAACTAATCTCTCGTACAAACATAAAAGTAGTACTACATACAAAACTTGTGCCGTAAAATTTATGGATAAAAATGGATCTGGTTCTTATTTCTTATGATAATATTAAAGCGGCTTCGAGTACGAAGAACGAGATCATCCATGTTGGCGGACTATCTTCGCCCACTCCCAAGGATAGTTCCTTTGGACGTATGCCAGGGTCCGACGAATTTGCTCCGCTTCTATTTCGGAACATTGAGGACACGCACCGCGTAGCACCAATGGAGCTAAGGCTGTAAGGACGATATACTCATAAGTTCGATTACAACAAAGTGTTTGTAGTTGTCCAATTGGGTAACTATTGTTATAAAATAAGTCATTCATAATAAATAATAAGAGACATCATTTCAGCCCCTACTGAACAAAGGCTTCCCCACAGATTACCACAAAACACGATCATGAGCCAACTGCATCCATCGACTTCCCCCATATTGGCACAGGCCGTCAGTATATAGTGGGGGGTCGTTCTATACTTCGATAGCCAGCACGAGAAACTCAAGGTACTTTATTTCCCAGCTATTATCGGTTCTACGAACTTTACAAACTAACTGCCCTACGACGAAAATAAGATTCAATTACTAACATTAGTCATCAACTAAGTGATTGCGGTTTTCAGTTACAGACGTTTCTCACTCCCATTTTTATGATACCCGTAAATTTCAATATGGAGTGCAAAAATTAACACTTTCACCATATTTTTCTTTATAAAACTTGTTAATTATTGGGAATTGAAGTTACGCCCACTATTACTTATAACCCTGATCTCGCGCCATCGAATTACCACGTATTTCAATCCCTGGACAACTCCTGTTGTGGTAAAACTTTCAATGATGATGACGCTGTAAAGTTACACTTAACTCAGTTTTTGGACGAAAAGGACTTTCGACAAGCGTGGAATTTTCAAATCTATAATGTGTGATGTCTGAGACATTACACATTATAGATTTAAAACTTCAGTCCAAGTAAAAAAAAATGTTTTCTGTATTAATCTGTATTCAAATATCATTCATATCCGTTCAGCGGCTCGGCGTCGAGAGACTGTGTATCGTCACTAGCAGACACTTACAGTAATTGGTAATAAGATTTTAGTAATCTAATGTTCTAAGAATAATTATTCTTTTTAATAGTTACCAGAACATTAGCGTATATTCTAATTAGTTAATTATCAATAAAGAAGCCCAAACATTGTAATATTCTCAGTTATCTCGTCTTGTCATTGACGTACATAATTATGTTCCGAAAAGATGTTTCTAGGTCAAAAAGCTGACATCTTGATGTGTCTGTATTTCGTCGGTTTGGGGAAATTTTACACAATACCAAATCGACTTATAAACAGTTTTGCGAAACAAAAAATGCTATAGTATCGAGTTACGTAATATAGTTCTTCATTAGTTAATCTCCTCTAAAAATTGCTCATAAGGAACAATGCCGTTATGCAAGTTTGCGATTTAATTTGGAAACTATTTAATTGACGCCTTCATGTGAGAAATATTGTTTTATTGGAATTATTGTTTTTTCCAACTGTATATACTAATGCTTTTACTGTCGTTTTTTTTTAGTGGGGAATTGTTCGAAATTGTCTTAGACTATTATCATATATATACAAATCTTAACATTATAAGTCTGAAGCAAAAAATGAAATGCTAACCCAATTGTCGTAATGCTATTTATTAACAGGTCGCTTTCTAATTGTTACGCAAAAGAATCGAATGCGGCGTTGAATAACCGTTGGATTGGTCGAAAGCAAGCGAAGCGATGCCAAGGGCGTAGGTATAGGTCTTAGTTTTGTGTTAACTTTACAGCTGGCGGTTTGCTCCTACGACAAAGTCATATTACAGAACATTTGAAATTGCACTAAACTCTAATCTTACGTAACTACGCGTATGTCGAAACGTTTGAGAGTCGATAATAATGATAGTTTGAAAAACGGATATCGCCACAGACGTAATCAGTTTGATGGTCTGTCATTCGATATTGGTCTTTTAGATGCCAACAACATTACCGGGAAAAGATTCAATGATTATGTATGAAAACCTATGAAATTGCCATTCTTCAATACTGGCCATTTCATATTAAAAAAAAATTAATTTGCTGTGAAATCAATAAAAAAAGCCTTTTGTTTATTGATTTGCTTTGTATTTTGAGTACTCTACATTTGAACATTTTTCATCATAATCGGATACTTTAAAAATTCGTGTAATTAAGGATTATGAGTTCCATCGCGGCACAAACGGCAGAACTTTACAAACGAACGCACAAACCGTTATGGGTTTGCCCGATTCCGTTTTGGAAATTTTGACTTGAAAAATGAACCTCGTGGTCGTCTGGACACTCTGGGCGACAATAATTGGATAAAAAGCGATCGTGGAAGCTGATGATAATCAATCTAGAGCCAAGCTAGCAATAGTTTTTGACGTTAGCATCAAAACAATATTGGTCCACTTGCGACATATGGGCAGGGTAAAAAAGCTTGATAGATTGGTGCCCCACGAATTTAACGATCGCCACCGCAGCGTACGCATCGAGACCTGCCTCGCGCTGCTCAATAGGCACATAAATTAAGGAATTTTGAACCGAATTGTTATGTGAAACAAAAATGGGTTCTGTTCGACAATCAAAAACGCTCAGCAAGTAAACTAACTCAACAAAGCAATGCCCTAAACGTAAAATGACCCCTAGGCAGGTGATGGTTACTGTTTGGTGCTATAGTGCCGGTGTGAACTATCACTGCTTTTTACAAAACGGCATGAGCTTTCCTGAACGATGTGTACTGTGAAGAACTGAAGACAATGACGGAGAAGCTCGCACATCTGCAACCAGCTTTGGTCAATCGGTCGTTCCCGCTGCTCCTTCACGACAACGCTCGTCCCCATACTGCACATCAGACAGTCTCCAAGCTACAAGAATTGGGGTTGGAAAGCTTTCCCTCATTCGCGATAATCAACAAACCTTGTACCTACCGACTATTACTTTTCCAAAATTTGGACAACTTTTTAGCGAGAAAAGAAAACGATTCCTTAGAGGCAGTATAAAAATCCTTTGATGAGTTTTTTGCCTCCCATTCAGCTGATTTTTACAAGAAGGGCAGCAATAAACTACCACTGCGTTGGCAAAACTGGCAAAAATGCATCAATTGCATGGGTGATAACTTTGAATAACAGAAACATTCATATGTCAACATTCCATTTTTATGAAGAAGTAGAGAGCGTTACATACGAATTTACCAAAATGTTTTATTTCAAAGCTCGTGTTTTAGGTTATTTATGTCAAGATAATGTATGGCTACAGTAAACCAATTGTCAGATAAATGCATTCCATAAAAAATAATTCAGTTTTTTATATGAGTTACATATGTAGTTTTAACTTACTTCTGAGGCGTATGCCAACGGGGTCACATGGCCCCTCGCCTAAAGCACACTTCAAGTGACGTTGCATTGTATTCCTATCAGCTAACGTCTGATCCAATTGAGCATCTGTCATTGTTGGTGCTCCATGAGCTAGATTTGCCGCCAGGTATACGCAAAGGACGAGGCAAAAAGGCGCGAAATACTAGAAAAAAACTTTTTATTACTATTTATATACAGATATAAAACTTTATTAGTAATTTTAAGAAGTAGTATAGGGCAATTTTTATGTTAGGCATATATTAGGTAATATATACATTCATACATTAGGATTTGGCAACAAGATAATTTGCGTTTTTGTGTTTGTAAAAATCAAGTGATAATACTATGCCATCAACGAGTTTACTAGGTGTATATTTAACTTCTAATATATAAAATTCTCGTGTCACGGTGTTTGTAATTGAACTCCTCCGAAACGGCTCGCCCGATTTTCGTGAAATTTTTTGTGCATATCGGCCAGGGTGGAGAATCGGACAACGTCTATTACCCCAAACATTTTTTTCTACCCAACAAATAATTTACATGGCAAAAGAACGTTTGCCGGGTCAGCTAGTATTATATAATAATTTTTATGTAATAAGTAGTCGTATTTAAATGTTAAAAATTTCACTTCCTAAGATTATTTCTCATACATATTATATTAACATATTATTGACTAAAAACAAATTAGATTTCTTGTTGTAGTGTAGTCAATCGTAAAGATAGGTTTCTACGAAATTCGTTATCTCATTCCAGGTAGGTCGTTGGTTTATTTTAACTATAAGATTAAAAACACGCTTTAGTAAAAAACGACACATTGTTTTAAACATAATATCAAAGAAATTGTAAAATTTTCATAGGTTATCTTAAAAACGTAAACATAGAGAAAATATTATTGGTTACACTATTTCGGTATCAGCTGAGGTGGTTATAAAACTACTACACCGTACACCGTGCTGAGGTGCCTTAATATTTTAATCTTGGGTAGGAGATAGGTTAGTCTAAGGTTAATTGATTTATTGTCCCTAATAAAAATGAAGAATGTAATGACGGCCCAAGGTTGAGTATGGATATGAATTAAAACATATATATACAATATAATGTCGTTAAAAACAATTATAGCAACAGATTAATCAAATGCGTTTAAAACAAAAGTTTTATATGTCATTTATACAAAACAATACCTGCATCTTCGAAACTATTCTAAATTTCCACCACTTGCAGCGAGATTTAGTTGAGGACCAGTTTTTAAACACTATTTCAATGTCTCTAAAAGAAATTATAACTTGACAATTCGACGACGCCTGTCTGGACGAATGGGAAACGACTGCCTACAATCTTCGCAGTAATCCGTGCCGGGAACACTCCCTCCCCGCCTTGTGGGATCATTAAGCCTTAAATAGGGCTCTCCAGCGATAAGTAATGACAAAATTCGAATGAATTTCATTGAAATTGTGTTACGGCTTAACGAAGTAGGATTAACTTTTCCAAGAATATATGATTGTTTTTAATTTCAAGACAATTAAATTCGAAATCGTTTGAAAATTGCAACGCGTATTTTTATAAAGTACATCTCTTACTCGCTGTAAAGCGCATATTTTTATACATTATGAATTATTACCACGTGGTTAGTACCGCCCACATATTTGCGGATTATGATGCAAGTTTTAATGATGTTCTTAGAAAATCTACAAGGAATCAAGCACACTGTTATTTGCGACCGATATCGGACGATGATAACTTTTGTGGCCTAAGATAGGGTTCAAAGGGGCGTGACTACCATGCTGCATGAGATGTATTGAACTTATTTCTCATGTGAAAAGTTTGTAAGCAAGCCGGCGGTTTACCTGATGGTGATGTTATGTGATTACCGCCCCTCGAAGACATCTACTACACCTCACGGGTTGCAAATACGTTGCCTCGTTCACCAGACGAAACACGAAAGTATATCATTTACACATCAGGCCGGTCTACTGTGAGGTCGTGGTACTTCCCCGAACGAGCCAGCCCATACGTGCAAAAGCAAAAGCTACTGCGAAGCCCTAGCACAACAAAAAAGATTTAAAGAACAGACTGAATAATATGTAAACATTAGGTAAATATAATTTAATCAAAGATAATAAAATTTTACGAAGCTAAGAAGTAATACTAAATTATTTACAAAAAAAAATTAAGAAAGAATTATTAGTTCAAACTTATCTCACACAACAATTATCTGCAGCAATAATTTGAAATGTGTGCGAAACGTCGGGAACATTTCAAATTAAACGCGGTAAAATTCGTATGCATAGTGTATTTACAAGTGTCCACGTAAATACATGAAATCATTATTTAAAGGTGTTTAACTTTATTACAACGCAACATTGGTATTCCAAGCAAAACGCGTTGCTCCAGACAAAAGATTTCGACGCTCCATAAAAACCCGCAGCATTTTAATAGACAAACATAAGCTATGGATTTTCCCCCATACAAAACTGCCCAATATGCTTATTGAAGCCCTCAAATATATATAAAATTATTATATAATATATAGAATAATAATATATAATTAAAAAAAAGCACCTTTTGTAAATTATACATTATTTCATTACTTCAAGTAAATTTGTATTTTGTAGTTTTAAAGTCAGTTGTATCAGCTCTCGTTACATTGAGGCCCGGTTTCTGAAACACTGATCAACGTAGATGTCAACTAATCAGTTGTCAAATGAATTTCAAATTTCATTTTAGGTGCCAAAAGGATGTTTAAACTCTTTGAATTGATCATTCTGATCATAAAGAAGATCATTCTGGTCAATTCAGAGAGTTTAACCATCTTTTTAGTACCTAAATTGTAATTTGAAATCCATTTGACAGCCGATTAGTTGACATCTACGATGATCTGTGTTTCAGAAACCGGGCGTGACAATAAATCAATCCCAATTTAGTGACCCTCCCCCACTCACCCTCCCTGAAGGAAATAGCTACATAGTTTTAGGGTTCCGTATCCAAAGAGTAAAACGGGACCCTATTACTAAGAATATGTCTGTCTATCTGTCTGTCTGTCTGTCTGTCTGTCCGTCTCTCACCAGGTTGTAGCTCATGAACCGTGATAGTTGGTCAATTGAAATTTTCACAGATCATGTATTTCTGTCACCGCTATACCAACAAATACTAAAAAAATATTAAAGTGGGCCTCCCATATAACAGACATGATTTTTTTGCCGTACGGAAGTACCACTATCTCGACTATCCTTCGTGCAAGAGTCCGACTCGCACTTGGTCTGTTTTTTAAATTATAATTTTACCTCAATTTATATCTTATATTAATGTTAAAGAATAACGCGAGTGTGAACTAGTTTATTAAGCATTAGCTATTTACTTTAGTTTAGGTAAACATTTTAATTTTATCATTATACAAGTCCTAAGTAATGAATCCTTAAGTTGCTATTTAGAATCGTTGGTTAGGTAAGTTTTTTGAATTATTTAGAATAATTGCTTGCGAACTTACTTTTTGATTAAGCACTTAATAAATGGAAAATTTATTTCAACGATTAACAATTTTAATGATGTTTTTGATTTAAATCGCGGAATACAGAAACTTGTTTTCCCTATGGCTATAAATCCCCGATGGGTCGGAACTCGAAAGCTCGGCCGAGTCGATAAAATGTAATAGAATTTTTATTAATTACCAATTATGATGAAAAATGTTAACTATTGATGATTTTAAAGAATAATTTATTAAGGCTATCGCCTGATTAGCCTATTCGGTTGTTTGAGGAAGATATACAAGTAAATATTTCTCAACAAGTTAAAATATTTAGTCACATTAAAATATATTCCCACAGAAAAATTCGACCTTTCTTCCTGAAACAAATCTACTGCCACATAAAGCATAATCTTTAGGATAATGTATATGCAGGGGTGAGTATTTTTAGATGTCACAAAGGCATTCAATGACATCATTTTTCTCAATCATTCTACCGGACAAACTTGCTCACACCATTCGGGTGTTTGCAGAACTGCACTTTTTGCTATAGACCTGACATGCTGCCCTCTTAAACCAGCAGTTCCTCAAAGATCATATCACTCATCACTGCTGTTCAATCTCTTGAATGAGTGAGTCTATGAGTAAGAACCCACGCCACAAACTGTGGGTAGGCGCGGGCTGAGTGTAGGAGCATTCACTAGGGGAGGGGATTTATGGATCCAATAGTGTTTTACTTCGGAGTTCCAGAACGGCTTAAAAACGTTTTTATATTAAAACAAGCTTCACGGTACTTCTTCGAAATATAGTTGCAAATGTCCTTGATCTCTGCTGAATGCGTATCATCAGTTCCTTGTTTGCCAACTCCTCCATAAAAAACTTGCATGCATATCAAATACCCATGTCTTCGTAACAACGGAATGAAGGCATCTTGCCTTAGCCGCAAAAACCTTCTATATGGGCCTATTTTCAGACTGCTACTGCCCTACAATAATAAATATTTTTTTATTTAAAACACTATTATTCATGTATTATGCTGTGCCCGCGATCGAATCCGAGTACGAATCACTACATAGTATAAAACAAAATCGTCCCGCTGTCTGTCTGTCCCTATGTACGCTTAGATCTTTAAAACTACGCAACGGATCGTGATGCGATTTTATTTACTAGATAAAGTGATTCAAGAGGAAGGTTTATATCTATAATACATTGCACCCACGTGAAGCCGAGGCGGGTCGCTAGTTTAAAATGAATAAAAAAAATAAAAAAACAACTATTTTAATATATGTTCCGCGTATCCATCGGTATGTATTTAGTAAAAAGCGTTTATTTCAATATTACAAACAGGCACTCCAATTTTATTTATATGTATAGATATCAAGTACTTAATTAATAATAAAAAGTATTTTATTTTTTAATTTATTGAGCAACAAAATTCACATCCTTTACTTAGTTTATAGGTATGTATATCACATATGCTTAATTTACAGCCAAGAAAGGATTTACATTTTATAGTTGGAATACCTATATAAAATAATTAAAACATTTGAGCTAGGAGTAAACAATGTGTTTTTAAAAAACAAATAAGCCAGTAATAATATAAGACAAAAAAATTTAATAATATAAATATCTAAAAAAAAAATGTGTGCATGTATTAGCGTACACTCGTAAGAAGTGAAACTTTTTTATGTTATAATTTAATATATAAAATTCTCGTGTCACGGGGTTCGAACTTGAACTCCTCCGAAACGGCTCGACCTATTTTTGTGATCCTTAGCGTGATTGTCGGCCAGGGTGGAGAATCGGCCAACATCTGTTTTTCATCCCCCTAAATGATAAGGGTAGTCCACCCCAAAATTTTTTTTTTATTTTTTAGGCAAAATTTTTTGTTTTTATTTTTTTATGACACAGCATACAAAAATACATACAGCTCGTAGCTATTAAATTTTTAAGTACTTTCCTGGTGCCATGCCATCTGGGGTTCCACAAGGTTCTTGTGCGCAATGCAGGTTACAGTGTGCTGGATTGGTAAAGAAACAAGAATGTCGTGAAGACAGAAAGAACACTGTTTATTTTCAGACGTTTGTACAAGTTTTTTCTTATGCAATAAAACGTTCATCTAGTGGCTGCAGGCTCCTCCTCTTCCTTGCTGCAGGGCTTCTTTCTTGCTGACTTCTTCTAGTTGCTTGTTCCACTGGTAGATCTTGATGCTCGTCGACTGCGATGATGCCCCGAAACGCCGCTATATTTATGTGATCCTGTGGGAATTAATTCCTGCTCTCTGATTGGTTGTCGTATTGGTATCCAATCAGAGAGCACACACACACACACGGGTCATCCACACACTGCCCTAACAGTCGGGTAGGTGCGGGTACGGGTATCGGGGACTCGAACCCCATGCCCCGGGCATTGTCTCGAGGGGCGCACCGTCCCCCCGGGAAATGTTTTCGCCTAACTCGGCTCGGACACTATGGCTGTGACGCGTGAATTTACACTACGTCATCTCACTTGATAGCATACAATCGCCCTTAGTGCATATGTAAATGGACCGCCCTTTGTTTACATTCAACACTACATAATTAATAAATTAATCATGTAATGTTAATTGTCTACAACTGGCAGTCACTGTTTACACACGCGCTAATTGCGTCAGCGTTTGCTATGACAACAGTAAACTGTCACCATAGCAACGGCTATATAGACGGTATTAAGTGTTCGCGTCGGTCT